GAAAAGGTAAGACTTTTTATACCTGTACTATTGAATCTTCAATGGAAGCGTAATACTGATTGTCTGAGGTGAAGCTGATACAATTCATATCCTAATTAACTCTTGAGGCAATCAAGAAAGTTGTGTATCTTATGAAGGTTGTAAAACCTAAAGATATATCCATTCTTAGTTGTTTTCCTGGATTAACTTTTTTCTGCCGGTTTATTTGGTATCTATGGAGAAGCTGTCCTTCTGGGGACAGCACAGGAGTTTGGCTCTTAATCTGTAAATACCAAACCTTGCACGTTTAGGATTGTATTGTAATGTATGTTTTACATAAGAAACTCGTCTGTCAGGTTTGCTTAGCCAGGCACGGATGTCTAATTCATGGGGAGGCAGCGAGATGGAGCCCTAGGTTGTATTTCCACTTTGACCAGATCCCTAATGGGGCAATCTTGTTTTCAATGGCTCAGGTTGCATTGGTTCCAGGCAGTCTAGAATAAGTTAAACTGGGCAGAGTGAAGAAATGAGGGGAACAAAAGGCAGATTAAGTATCAAAGGTTGGCTTCCAAGACTGTGTTAAATTAGTTTAACAACACAGAATTCTGAAGTTTAGCATCAGCTCCCCGGACTTTGTTGTGGACTGCCCTGCAACAGACGGACTGCACAGCACATGAGTACAGTGAGGAGAGGGATCAAAAAGAGGAAAAACAAACAGTGCAGTTTTCCTTTTTTTAAATAACTCTTCCCGCACACTTTCCACAGCATCATAGACCTCCCTATTGCTGTTGGCTTTGTGAGGGTGCTGGGTATTTTTAAACAAGAGTTTTTGTCTGCTTCAGTGGAGAAAGCTGACAAATCACTAACCCACGTCTGGGTTGCAGAGGACACTGTGCTGTCTCCAAGTCTGAGACTCCTTGCTGCTGGGGTTGGCACTCTCAAGGGATGATTCCAAATAAAAAACTGAGCAAGCTTTAAAAACTAAATTTAAGTAATCATCAACCTAGTAAGTAATGAATGCTGAATTAATTGCTTGTTAGATCTGTAGCAGTTAATTAAAACACCAGTGAAAGCTCAGAAAAACTGACAGCTACTCGCTGAAACTGCAAGTGTGCCATGAAATACACAATGTCGTGTATTTTTGTGGAACACACATAGAAAGGAAATGGTTCATATGACTGATTAGCTGGCACAAGTGCTATGCACAAATGTCTCTGCTAATATTATAATCCATGTGAAATAGTGACTAACCTTCTTAAAGAGTGCAATAATGGAACTATTCTGAAAAATTTCAGTAGCCTCAAGACCTACACAGATTCATGAGTTGAGAGTGTTGAACTAATAGGTATGAGTCAGCTCTAATTAACATATATCCAAATATGTTGGAATGGATTTGACTGTAACAGTCTTTTGTTGCCTCCTGTATTTGCACACCAGTTTAAGGTCTGCACTCCTGGGTAAGGCCAGTAGCAATTGATCTGCAGTGAAGCGAGCAGTGTACAGTGTGCAGTCCCAAATGGCACACACATGTGCAGAGCACAGGAGGATTATTAATACTATTGAAATACCAATCAAAGTGCTTCAGCAGGCACCAGGCAGCTGCAAAACATTTAGGGACAGCTCAGGAATTCCCATGAGCAGAAGTGAGACAGGAAATAGTGAGAAGTTGAATAAAGTAGCTGAGGAAAATGCCTTTATTCAAAAGAGAGATGAATTCAAAAGAAGTTCAGCATATCCCAGCACAGAAGTCAGAGAAAATAGATTAGGAATAATCTGAAAAGGGGAAGAAATCATACATGCTTTTCAGTAGAATTGAAATTTAATACTTTCTTCAACATCAGCTGGAACTTTCTCTTCAAACAGTAACTAGCCAGTTGTGATGGTAAATGAGTTCAAAAGTAATCATTCCTGTCTGCTTATACAGTTATATGTGGAGAAATGCCATTTAGCCATCATATTAAACTCGGGGAACTTCACCTTACCAGTCTGTTTATAGTGAAGAGCCAGATTTTGTCTCAGTGTGGCACAAACTGTTTATTGTCAGAAGGAATTTGGCTACGTTACAACAAACACTAGAGCTGAATGGCTACCTCGATATCTCATATTCTGAGCCAGGGTGAGTTTGGGGCCAGAAAGTGCTGTAAGGAGTGGTCCTTTAAGTGCGTTGGTGGAGCCCCAGGGACGGGAGGTCAGAGTAATAATGCTGGAAGTACTAACAGGAGTCAGCGCTTTGGCATGGCAGAGCTCCGAGGAGCCAAGGCAAAGGCTGTGATTGCCTGGGACTGCAAGGTGCTGGGGGTCATCCTGAACGAGCATCCGGCAACTGCCCGGAGTACGAGCTCCCGGAGTGCTGATCTGCCATCCTCGTGGCAAGTGGGAGGGGGTCCCTTGCCAAGGAACAGCGATGCTTTGGGGATTTCTTAACTTTTACCTAGAGAAACAGGCAGAGTGTGTTGGATGGTGCCTTTTAAACAGGAGGGTTGGAAGCTGAAACCAGAACATTCCGTGGCAACTGGAGAAAGTTCTGAGGAGAGTGCAGTGAGAGCGGCAGGACCCCCCCCTCCCCCTGCCTGGAGGAGAGACAAAGAACAGGCGAGGAGGGAACTGAAATAGGAAGCAGGAACCATGTTAGGAGGCTGGGGGCTAAAAGAAAGCAAATTAATAAACCACTGGGGGAAAGGAGCACAACTGTCCAAAGCCACTAGGAAAGATAAGCAAATTCCAGATTCTTTAAGTGCTGCGTGTGTGTGTGCAGCCTGGCTGGTGTGTTAAACATAATCATCTTCCTCGCTGCAGCGAGAACTACTCGTGTGTCTGCACACAGACGTACAGAATATGAGCACTGTTATCTATTTAATGTGGTGTATTTAAGCTGGGTTTGTCAGCATTGCTACCACTCAGCCCAAAATTTCTAAAAATACATGTTCATATCAGGGTGTGTGCACACATAGTGCAGTAATAAAAAGCTACTGGTAATATTCTGCCTACAGCGGGGACAAACAGTTGCTATCAAAAGCAGGGAAAATCTGGAGCACAGGCTGAGGGCACTGTGTGGCCTTAAGTGCTAATGTAATATTTTGGAAGTTGGAAGCTTGGTGCGCTCATTTGCACATCAGTACCCAGAATGCTTTTTCAGTTCCACCACTATTTAATTCAAGTGCTGGGTTTGAGCTTTTGGAAGACTCGGTAGTTTGTGATGCCCTCACATGTGCCAAGTTCAGTATTTTCCACAGAATAGTTTAAGTGACGATATTAGACTGTGAATAGGTGGTCCAAGGATTCTTAATTAGGCTTGATATTACAAATGCAAAAAAGTGCCCTCGAACAGTCCCTTCCCTCCCCCCCCCTCCCCCCCCCAGTGTTGTCTTTAACAAAACAAAGAACTCTGTTTTGGGAATGTGTGTGTTTGTTGGGCGGGGGAAGATACTTCTTCAAAACTCGGGGAAAAATTCTTCAATGAGACAGAAAGCAGATTTCAGCTGCAAATGAGTAATGATGATGATGATGATGGAAAAGCAGCTCTTTCATAGAGAGACCTCGAGCCCACAGAAAAGATTCAGCACTAGGACAGTCCAGGCAACCCGGGGCAGTGAATTCGGCGGTGCATTGGGAGTGTTTAACCCGGGCCCGGGGAAGGGTAACTCGCGGGAGCGGGAGCCCCGCCGCGCTGGGGCGTGGGGCGCCGTGGGAACCCCGGGAGCGCGGGGCCGTGCGGGGCAGCGGAGTGTCCCCAACATGGAGGCACTCGGGGCTGCCAAGTGCCCGTGCCTCCCGCAGCCCCCGGCCCGCGGGTACCGTCCCTCCCAACAGCTCCCGAGGGGAGGGCATTTTTGCACTGGAAGAATTCCCGCTGTACCCCTTCCCTCCCCCACAATGCCGGCGCCTCGCTCTTGCAGCGAGGCTGAGAGTTGATCGTGGTACGGGGGGTGGGGGTGAGAAATGCAATGAAAGACCGGGGGGAGGCCGGTATGCTCTGCAGCCCCTGGCCCCTCTGGGATCGGCTCTCCTCGGGCGAGCCGAGGAGGTGGGGGCCGCTCTGCGCCTCTGCAGCTCCGGGAGGGTTTGCATTGGACGATTCGCGCCTGGGGAGGGGGGGAGGTTGCCTGCAGCCCCCCCGCCGGCCCCTCCTCCTCTCCCCGGCGGGAGGGGGGCCTGGGGGGCGAGCTGCAGCCCGGATATTTGGGGGAGGGGGCGAGCGCAGCCCCGCCACCCCCGTGTGCCGCGGGCGGGGGCCTCGCTGCCGGCTCGGCATTGGAGGATCGGTGCTGGGGAAGGGGGAGACTGCAGCCCCCAGCCCCCGCGGGCGGGCGGGGTGGGGGCCGGCCTGCTGGCTCTGGCTGCTCTTGCATTGGCGGATGCGGGGAGGGAGGGGGGCAGGAAGCGGGGGGGCAGGGGGGAGCCCGAGTGGCTGGAGGGGGGGTCTCTATGAATAGGGTGGGGGTCTTCTCGTCCAAAGAAGAGAGGAAAGTTTGCGGCGCCGGTGGTGAGGGTGCGGCGAAGCGGGCGGGGCCCGGACCGGAGCCGGCGGCGGCGGCGCTCGGTCGGGGAGCAGGAGCCGGGGGGCCCCCGCTGGATTTTTGTAGGGGGGGTGGTATCGCCCCCTCCTTCTCCTCCCCCCAGGGGTGAAAGTGCAAGAGGAAGTGCAGCCGCTGCCATCTTTCCTCCGCTCCAAACACACAGGGACGGACGGAGCCGGCAGCCCGGAGCCGCCGCCGGACCCCCCGTCCCTCCCGGCCGCCGCCGCCGCCGCGCGCGCCCCTTCCCGCGGCGGCCCCGCGGCCGCAGCGCCTCGTGGCGGCCGGGCCCGGGCGGGGCTCGCGCGGCCGCGCGCGCGCCTCGGCCGCCCGAGCCTTTTGTCTCGCCCCCCCCGCGCCGCGCGAGCCCCTCGCGCCGTGCAGGGAGCGCCGCGCGCGCCGCCGCCGGCCCGGGCAGGGGCGGGGAACGAGCAGGAGGAGGCGGCGCGCGCCGCCGCGCGGCCCGAGAGCGCGCGCGCCCCCTGCGGGCGCCGGCGGGGCGGCGCAGCCCCCATGGAGCGGGTGAGCGAGGCCGCCGCCTGCGGCCCCTCGGCGGGCTGCTACACCTACCAGGTGAGCCGGCACAGCGCCGACGTGCTGCACAGCCTCAACCAGCAGCGCAAGAACGGCGGCCGCTTCTGCGACGTGCTCCTTCGCGTGGGCGACGAGAGCTTCCCGGCGCACCGCGCCGTGCTGGCCGCTTGCAGCGAGTACTTCGAGTCGGTGTTCAGCGCCCAGCTGGGCGACGGGGCAGGTGGCGGCGGCGGCGGCGGCTCGGACGGGAGCGCGGCGGAGGCGGCGGCGGCCGGCGGGGCCGCGGCGGCGGCCGGCGGCGCCCCCGGGGGCGGGCGGGAGCTGGAGATGCACACCATCAGCTCCAAGGTGTTCGGAGACATCCTGGACTTCGCCTACACGTCGCGCATCGTGGTGCGGCTGGAGAGCTTCCCGGAGCTCATGACGGCCGCCAAGTTCCTGCTGATGCGCTCGGTGATTGACATCTGCCAGGAGGTCATCAAGCAGTCCAACGTGCAGCTCCTCGTGCCCCCCGCACGCCCTGATATTATGCTGTTCCGTCCGGGGGCCGCGGACCTCGGCTTCCCTCTTGACATGACCAACGGTGCCGCTTTGGCGCCCAATGGCAACGGCATCGCCGGCATGCCCGAAGACGAGGCCACGCGGGCCGCGCTCAGCGCCGCGCAGTCCTCCCTGCCCGTGCTGCAGGGCGTGGACCGCCTGCCCATGGTGGCGGGACCTCTGTCCCCACCGCTGCTGGCCTCGCCCTTCCAGAACGTTGCTGCTAGCGCTCCCACTTTAAGCACCAAGAGGGGCAGAGGTCGTCCCCGCAAGGCCAACCTCTTGGACTCCATGATGTTCGGTACCCCGGGGGGCCTGCGAGAGGCCGGGATCCTGCCTTGTGGCCTCTGCGGGAAAGTGTTTACGGATGCCAATCGTCTTCGGCAGCACGAGGCTCAACACGGGGTGACGAGCTTACAGCTGGGCTACATAGACATCCCACCCCCCAGACTGGGTGAAAACGGTGTCCCTGGTCAGGATGACCCCGACGCACCCCGGAAAAGAAGCAGGACGAGGAAACAGGTGGCCTGTGAGATCTGTGGCAAGATTTTTCGGGACGTGTACCACCTGAATCGGCACAAGCTGTCGCACTCTGGCGAGAAGCCCTACTCTTGTCCGGTGTGTGGCTTGCGGTTCAAGCGGAAAGACAGGATGTCCTATCACGTTCGATCTCACGATGGCTCTGTGGGAAAGCCCTACATCTGCCAGAGTTGTGGAAAAGGCTTTTCCAGGTAAGGCGGTGCCCGTAAGGACCGTAGACACCAATGGAGACCTAGGAAGTTGTCTTTCCTATCCCTTGGGATATGTGCTTAGGATAGACTGTTCCATTTTAAAATGTCTCAAGAAGTGGGACTTGCATCATTTCCTCTGGGACGCTATTCTGCAGTCTCCTGAAAGGGTTTAAAAGTAATTAAGACGTAGAACTGGGAGTCACTTGGCTTCTGGGGAACATGCCCAGCTTTGTCCCAGACTTGGTGTAAGCGTGTCCTTGGGCAAATGAGTCTCTCCCTCAAATGCCTCTTCTGTGAAATGGGTATTGAAATAATTACCCGTGTTACAGAAGTGCCTGGAGACCACTGATTTGTAGGTAGTTTGAAGGTGCTGTTGAAGTGCAAAATAAAACATCTCAAGATTATTCTTTTTCTCGTATCCATTTTAAATTTTCTTTTTCTTAACTTCCCTTCATTTCTCTTAGTTCGTAATGTTTTTTATCACCCAAATGTGAAGGAAGAGGTGAGATTTCAAAGGCTGCAGCATCAAGTATCTTTTATTACATGATCTTTGTGTCCTTTGGGTTTACATCCTTCTGAAGGGGATCCTGTTTCTGCCCTGCAACATACGTAAGATCTGTGCATTTAATGTTGCTGATTTTCTGTTGTCGCTGTTTGTGGGAGCTAATTTAATGAGTAGTTTGGTCCACGTAGTTGTGTTAGTGGTATCTTGTAGTCTGAGTCAATGAATTTGAAACTCTTTTGGAAGTTTGCTGCTCGCTTTGAGATTAGAAGTACTGGGGGGGAGGGGGATGCATACACTCTATTACTTCAGTCAGTTTTCTACAGCCGTTGCCTTGCTCTAGCAGGAGGGAAGGAGTCAAGATATGAAAACAAATCAAAAGGCCACCAGGCTACATAAATTGTGGAATTGTGCCCCTGCAAATCGTGGAATTCTGCCCCCACTAGTTCTCTTTTTAATAGAGGGACTTTTTGTTAGAGGGACTTTTTGTTATTGAAAGAAATTATGAAAATGTAGCCCTCCCCTCCTTTTTTTTTTTAATCGGCAATAATTAGGGATGCATCTCCATAAGGACTGCAGATTTCATGATGGAAAGTCACAAAATGAAAATTTCATCCATGGCTAGAAGTGAAAGCATTTTTCTTATTATAGCGCTACCTGGGATCGTGTACCAATTTTTATTGTTTTTATTGACTCTTAAAAGATTTCTGCTGTTGCTGTATGAAAGGTTTTTGTCATCAAGGGAGAGGATACACGTTGAGCTCTCATTGTTCCCAGCAACTTAACGTGGACAGGCAGGAACGCTGTTACAAAAGTAAACAACAAAAGTGTTTGCCTATCTTTGTAAAATCGCAGCATGAATGAAAACTCCAGACTTTAGGTTTCAGTCCTCAGTCGTAGGAGCAGCCACGGGAGGCTGGAAGCGTGATTGTCTAATTTTAGTCTGCTTTCCTTTATTCAGTAGCGCAGCACGTGGGGTGGCTGGGCTGGGGGTAGGCTGAAGGACCCCAACCAGTCTGTCCGGTTCCACCACTCCAGCCCATCGCTGGAGCATCGGCTTTAGGAGCCTCACTGCAAAGTTCAGCCTCTTCTCTGTCTGCAGTGCGTGAATTCCATCCCGAGCCCTCTCATTGGCGCAGCTGCGAAGCTGGGGGAGGAGAGGGTGGGGAACTTGTTTCCAAGCAGTTTTGGCCTCATACAATGAAAAGCTTTCTTCCCACTAGGAGAAACTCCCACCAGGAAAATCTGCAGCTCTTCAGTCCTTTCTTCTTCAAAGTAGGCTTTGCTCCTTGTGTAAAATAGTCTAACTTTTTTCAGTAATAATTTGCTCTTCCATTGCACCTTCTAGTTGGGACCTTCAGAGCCCTTTGTTTGTATCAATGCAGTCTCCCCGCTAAGTTGTGAGTTAGGACAGTATTTTTTCATCTTTCAGGTGGAAAATGTGTTACAGCAACAGAGTTTAGGCTCAGTCTTTTTGCACAGAGATGCTTAAAGTTGACTTTTTATATCCGTGTTTGGGACATAAACCAAAAAGGTCTGATTTTCAAATATTCAGCAACTGTAAATCAAAGCGCCCTGATTGTCAAGATCTAAATAGGATTTTGGAAGGGGACATGCAGGCTTGAAAAACTGTGACTTGTATTTCCCATTTTCTTTGATCATTCAGTCATAATTTCTTCCTGAGAAAATGCTGCCTTTTTAGCAAGTTGGAGAGGGTACATAACAAGGTAGAATCCCAGTTGTTGGTGATCTGGTTCTTGGAAAGTTAAATATCGTTATATTTGTAATAGAGCCAGCACTGGGATTTTTTTGGTGTTTTTTTGTTGTTAAAATTGTAAGTTTATTTTTAGTATTTGTTTTAAGTGTGCTTATGTGTATTTTCCTTTAAGGCCAGACCACTTGAATGGACACATCAAACAGGTGCATACCTCAGAGAGACCTCACAAGTGTCAGGTAGGAGCCAGAGGGGTTTGGACTGATGTGTGGGTGATCTTTGGCATAGGATTTATGTGTGCAGCCAATCTGAAGTACCAGTAAAGATTCCATGTGTGTGTGAGTGGGGATAAATGCTGGTGAAGAACAGTGTTCCAGTGACAGCTGCTTTACATCCCTCCCGTCCCCTCCTTTTCTATCCCCTCCCATCTCATCCCAGCCCCTCCTGTCATCTCCAGCTTTGGTCCTCCTGCTTCCCTCCCTTCTTCCCTTTCCCTGCTGCTCTGTCCCAGTCTCCCCCTGGATCTCTTCCCCAGCCACCTGGCCTTGGAGTCAGTGGCACTGATGATTCCCTCCACCCCCCTCCCTTTTTTTTTAATTGCAGTTGTTGCCATCAGGAGGCTCCAATGCCAACTTCATTTTTTTTTTTAGAATAACTTCAAATAAAAATAATAATTATCGTAACTTGTCAAGATACCAATTTTTTTTTACCCACATAGCCTTCAGAACATTGCACTGAGCAAAATTGGAAGCTGTTTTTTATCCCAGGGTGAATATAAACAACGGCATCACAATATCTTTTGTCATACAATGTCATAATGCTGTATATAGCTTTTTGCAGCTAATAAATTATTTGTAAGGGTTTGAAAGATCAAATGAAGGGATATATTTTGTAATTCATTTATGGAGAGATTTAAAAGGTGCAGGGAAGTATCAGTTAACACCAAAGCTGAGAATCAGCTCCACTATCATACACTGCCTTCACACAGATGTTGGGCAAATTTCTCTAACATTTCTTGGGCTAAGAGTCTCCAGGCTTGGTTTCTGCAGAGAGATTTATTTAGTACTTAGTACAGAAGTTGGAGCAAGATTATTCTCTTTTTCTTTGAAGACAAGGATTTTTTCTCCTAAAATATTCACCCACATTTTATGAACCCAGTCAGTCCTACAGGACTGCTGCCTCCCAATATGCATTTTTGCACGTTTTGGTACATCTCTCCTATGTTTCCTTCAAATTGTGAGAGTTTTGAAACATTTTGCAATTTTAATCATCCAGTGAACAGTTCTCCAAATAGCTGGAGCCATCTGAAGGTTTCTGTTGATCTGTGGAAGCCCAGCACCTCTGAAAGTCAGGCCACAGAGCCATCACTTTGATTTAACTGTATGGCCTATATAAAGCTTTAGATTGGTTTAAGCTTCTTAGGATGATTTAGGGTTTATAGATTTATACAAATTGGAAAATTCCACTCATAAAAACACTTCCCAATTTGGGGACAGCAAGGGGTCTGGGTGGATGAAGACAACCACAAATTTTTTCCATAACCATGTGTTTGCCCACAAGGACAAAAATGAATGTTTAGTCCCAACATGGACAGAAACTCATCAGCCTTTTGCCAGTTGATACCAAGGTGACACAGTTTATGAATAACACTGATAGATGTGAATTATCCTTTGCCAGCTGATGCCTGATATTTTTTTTATAGTTTCTGATTGATTTAAGCATATTAAATATAACCTCTCTGTGAATCAGACACTGAGAGCTAGAGAGTAAAGAAATGTGGAAGCTAAGATTGTCCAGCCCAGCTGAACCCCATCTCCTTGCACTCGTGTGTTCTGTGACAGCAGTTTCTAAGAACAGTCTCTCATCCCGTGCTGTCTGAAGTGCCATTACACTGCATGCACTGTTCACCTCAGTTACAAGGCATAGGCTACAGGTCATGAGCATCAGGACAGAGTTGAGGTTGTCCTTCAGGCTTGGTTTGCTCTTGATTTTTGACTGCTTAACCCTGCAAAGTTAATTTTTTATGAAATTTAAGGTGTAGAAAATTTGTTAATGACCTGTTGTGTGTCTTTGCAAAAACTACTTGGTAATATGTTGTCAGATTTAGAAAGTCTTCTTAAACATGCCCAGAGCTGTACATGGTACAAACACAGAGGGAGTGCTGTCACACTGAACATTTGTTTGGAATATGAAAGCTGAGGTGTAAATTGATAAAGTTCTTGTGATTATCTCATAGCCACTCACGCTTCTGTTCCAGGATGTGTATCTAAACACAGGATCTGGCCACAGAGAGGGAAAATAGCTTAATATTGGCATATTGTTTGCCCATTTGCCATTCCTTTTTTTTCCATGGATTTTGTTTGTCCAATTAGCTCCCCATGAGAGCAGCCTGAGCAGCACTGAGCATCCTTTCTGAACCTGTTGAGTTCCCGCTGAAAGTTCCTGTTATTGTCATGCTTTGTTTATGTTTACTGAATTACTCTGTCAGTAAACAGAAGAGCATTCCAGAACCCTCTATTGCAATGGCATTTTTGGAATTTGTGCTCTGTTGTGATTTAAACAAAATCCACTGGCCCTTTACCTGGGCCCTCCTGTATCTTTGAAACCAGTAGATATCTGTGTTTTGTTGATGTGGCATCATGGTACCCTTGGAGTACCAAAACACAAGCGAGAAGGTATCAACCCAACTGCAGAATAAATAAAATGGCAGTATGAGGAGCAGGACAGTTCTAAGCTGAGCATCACTGCAGCAGCTGTACCTTTCAGTGCTCAGTTTGCAATCCTGCACTCAGCCCCCTAAAATCTGGGCTTCACGGCTCTTTCACAAGCATCCCACCTTTCAGCACCTGATGCCAAAGACACGACTCCAGCTTTTTCATTACAGTTCAAATAGACTCAGATTAGGGGAGGTCTCCCCAGAGCCAAGGCAGCTGAGAAATCAGCCCCGAGGAGTGGCTTTGGTGTCCAGGCAAATGGCGCCCTGGATCTTCTCCCCTGCATTGCTGCACTGATGATTTTTTTTTTTCACATTTTTTGTTCTTTTTCCCAATGTGCCAGTTTGAGTTCTGGCAGTAGGAGAAGGGGTAAGTCAGTTTTGTGCCGCAGTGGGATGGCTCTGAGTGCTGACTCCATGGGAAGGGTGAAGCTGTCGGCTTTGGCGTGTGAATGGGTGAACGTCAGGAAATGGTGATCTGAAAATCTGTGGATGTGAAAGAACAAGGGGACAAAGCAGAAGTTCGCTCCTTCTCAGAGACAAGAGACAGGTTGTTCTTCTGGCACATTAAATAAAAAATTAAAATGCAGGTTAAATTAAAGCACAGCTTAATTGGCATCCCAAGTCCAGTGCTTTTCCCATTGATTTCAATGCAGAATGAGTTTCTTCCTGTCCTAATTTCTCTTACTTCCTGCCTATTAGCAGGAAAATGGCAGCCACCATGGAATAAGCTCAGAGACATCCACATCCATAGAAAAGTTGAAACTTCAAGAGGTATTTCTTAAACAATGTTTTTTAAACTTTATATATTCTTTTTTGGTCTATTTATATACCTGTGCAATGTTTGATAGGAAAGCACTGGAGAGTTTTCTTCTATGATTAACAATTAATGATAAATATTTAGCACTCATTTAGCGCTTCACATCTTTTGTAAAATAAGACTTTTTTTTTTTCTCTATACCTTTTATAAATATTAACTATTTGAATATTAACTTTGGGGTTTTCCTTAAACCTAGTCCTGTTTCCCGTTGTTATGATTCAGCTAAACTGGTTCTTGCTTTCTCCACTGGGCTTAATTATTTTTTAAGCTTCTTCACAGATATATTTTCCCTATAGCTTATCCAAAAGTGAGCTTTGCACAGCTCAGCAGCAAGAGTGAGAATCAAACACAGAAATTATGATGTTGCCTTTCCCTAAGCTTTCAGCTTGCTGAGTTCCCTCTGAGTCAGACGTGGTTTCACCTCTGGCATCCCTGTATTTGTGTGATTTGTCTCTGATCTGTGTATGAGCTGGTGCCCCCCCAGTGCTTGGGAGGGGACGTTACTGCGGCTCAGTAGCTTTAGATTTACTGATGATGGATCTCTTGGCTGTCGTTGATTATCCAGTTATCTACCTTTAGCTGATATCCAACACACTGATTGCTATCAGTGCTGCAATGCTGCCCTCAGAGAGTGTTTACCTCTAAGAACATTTCAGTAAGTGAAAGCTGCACCTGTTTTGCTCAGCGCTGTGTCCTGGGATTGCAAAGGAGGAGAAACCTTTCACGGTCAAGACTTTGCCTCTTAATCCTAAACTACTTATAATTTATGGATCTTTGTCCCGTGAGCTTAGTTCAACTGTACCACAGAAATCCAGATAATTTTACTGTTGCCTTTTTAATTTCATTAAGTCCTGATCCTCTGAGGTGTTAAGTCTTGTGCTTGCTTCAGAGCAGCCTCAGCTCTTGGGAGTTTGCCACACTGAAGCATCTCACAGGATCGAATGAGTGTAAAGCCTGTTGAAATTGATAGGTACTTTTCAGCTGCCTTCAATGTTTTTTGGATTAAGCTCTTGATTAACTGAATTCACATATAATTATATGTGTTACCCTCTTCTGTATTATCAATTTCACTTATGTGACATTACAATTTTGAAATTTTACTAGGATTGTTACTTTAACAAGTTTAGTGAAACAGTGATTTAATTACGTATCGATACTTGAAAAGATAGACTACATCCAGTTCCCAAGTCACTTAATAGCCTCATATTATTTTTAGGGGGTTCTGGTTATGCATCTTAAAACTTCTACTTTATATAAAGGTGGTGCAAACGAAACACTGTCCACTCTTGACTGTCACTGCTGCCCCTTGCTCTGGTCACTGTGATGTGTGTTTGCTTTGGTTCCTGCTCTCACACTTGGGAAGTGGATCAGACTGTGTCTCCAACACTCTGTACAACCCAGGGCTGGGGGTTTATTTCCCTTCAGACCTCAGAGACAGAACAAGCCCCTGAGAACTGGCAGGCAGCTGGCACAGGCTGTGGGCAGAGCCTGCGTGCCTGCCCATCCTGGCATTATAAAAATGGGAGGGAGCCTCACTCATCACGTGGATTTCATCTGGGAAGGGGGCGAGTAGAATGGATATTATGCCAAATCAAGTTTGTTTCATGATAGTAAGTGGAACAGGATACCTTGATCAGGGGTAAGTTATAAACAGATTACAATGTCCTGCAGTTATTTTGATACCTGCTCAGTTCTGAGGCTTCACTTCTACAGTTTGTCTGCACTGCTGCTGTGGATACCAGGATGACTCTTCTACTGTCTCTTGTCATGTTCTCATCCCAGATAATTCTCCAATGCTTTGTTTGTATGTCTTCATACTCCAAAAGATTCTGGGTACTGAAGTCAGATTGATCACGTCAAAGAGTAGAATGTAGGGAAGTGACAGAGAGGACATTTTGAGTGGTCCAAAGTGATTGTAATGGCTCAGTGAAATGGCAGAAATTACTGTAAATGGAATGAAGTGGTTTGTGCTATTTCTGTTGTTAAATGTAATTTAAAATGTTAGTATCTTTATCCTCAGAGAGGAGCTAAAGCCTTACACTCTATCTTAAGTTTTACTGTCTGTAGTATGTTAGAGCTGTTTCCTTAGTTCTTTCAAGTAGTAACATCGCACCTTGTGCAATGTGTCGGTGATCCGAATTTTTTTATTTGTGGGGGAAAATGGCTTGTGCGTCATGTCGTTCGTGTCTTTGCTCAGGATCTGAGGTATTTGCTCTAAAGAACGCTAAATATATTGGACAATATCAGTGCTTTTGGCAGAGCTGATGAGTCACACGGTTCTCGTTGTACCTGCAGACTTGTAACGCTTCCTTTGCCACTCGTGACCGGCTGCGCTCACACCTGGCCTGTCATGAAGACAAAGTCCCGTGCCAGGTGTGTGGCAAGTACTTGAGAGCAGCATATATGGCAGACCACTTGAAGAAGCACAGTGAAGGACCAAGCAATTTCTGCACTATCTGTAACCGAGGTAATGAAGGAACTGTGCTTTTCTTTCCGTGGGCTGGGACAGCGCTGGAGGGGAGCTGTGGGGCTCAGTGACTCTGCCTGCAACAGGAGGAGGTTGTACCACGTGTGTGACCATCCCCTGAAGCTGCTGCAGCTGCAGGGCTGGCCTTGTCACCTGGCTGGCAGTTCCTAAAGAAACTCAGTTCAAATCTGAAGCAAATTGTTTCTAGACAGTTCTAAGAATTTTGATTATTAAATAGCCCCGATCCCTGTACAATAACCCCCATAAGCTGCCTTGCTGCTGTTCACCATACATCTTCTTTTCTATATCTGGTTAGACTTGAGTCCTTGCAATCAGTTTGGAAGAGGAATCTCTGAAATAACATCGAGTTGAAAATCCTACACTGAGCATAAACAGATTTGCGTCATGTTATCCAATCTTGCTCAGCCTCCTGGTGCAGCAGAGTCAAGTGGCTTCTCCCTCTTAACCCAAGAAAATGCTTTGTATTAATGTACATTTCTAAACCAGATTTTGTAAAGAGCACTAGAAATGTGTTTTATCTTTATTTGTACAAATACAGCTTTTCATAGTATCACAGAATATCTGGAGTTGGAAGGGACCCATAAAGATCATGGAATCCAACTCCCTGCTCCTTGGGAGACTACCTGGAACTAAACTATATGACTAAGAGCTTTTGAAGCTTTTCCATCTGTTTGTGGTATTCTTAAGTTGTAGAGAGTTGGAAATTTAGGTTTTGTGGGATGTAAGGCAAGCTGGAAAAATGATTTTGACTTATTGGTGTCTTTTTTTTTTTTTAATTATTAATACACAACTTCAAAATGCACTGTTGGCTCACACAGCTAGTAAGGGTTGGAAGAGGTTGCTGCTGTGTTTTGGAATCCTGTTTTTTCTGATGAGTTATTTTTTTTCTGATGTGTGTTCCCTTTTCTAATTTAAGAGATGTGAAATCTTTTGAGAGAGAGAATAAAGCTGTTCTGTGTTTGATGTGAGGACTGTTCAGGGAGCTTTTGGAGTTGATGAGTAATGAGAGACATTAAATTGAAAGGGAAGTATTTCTACTTGTTGAGCAATGTGTTAGGTCCTGAAAGTGATATTAGCAGTGTGAGTGGAAAAGGCATCTGGGTTGAAAATTTTGAGGTTCTGAAGCTCCAGTAGATGGTGTGAAATGAAGTTTGCCCTCCTTTTCAGCTTCTGAAAAACTGCTTAAGCTTATCCCGATTCTTTCTGTGGTAACAATGGAAGATCCTATCCAAGGTGCAGGTGCTGTCCTGCTCTCCTTCAGCTGTGCATGGTGCCAAACAGAAACTCCCCTGAGCCGGGAGGAATTGTCTCGTTTCCAAGATTTGCAGGCTTGAGTTTCGATGGAACTACCACTGGATGTCACTGCAGCTCTTTGGAAATGGAGCCAGGGTGACAAAAACAGACCCGGCATTCAAACAATGAAATGACCAAGGGCTTTATTCACATTTTACAAGTCGGAATGTACAGTGGAAATTTAAAAGTACTTTTCTCTGCAGAAGGACAGGGGACCTGTTGTACAGTCAGCTTTAGGCAGCTCCTTTCTTACAGTTTGTGTTTCACAGGAGTTGTCAGAATTGTGTACTGTGAACTTCAGTGTACAGCAGGGCTTAGAAAATGTAATTAATGTGGTGAATTCCTGTTAAATATCTACCCAGTGTTAGAATTCATAGGAAGGGGGAGTCACAGCCTGGATTTGTCAGATGACTGTGTTGTGAACTCACTGCTTTACGCTGTAAGTGTTGGTTACAGATTTATGAGCAGTGACAGCAGAAGTTTTCATCCCAAGCGTTCTAGAATCAAATCATGATGTTCATAGTTTTAAAGAGATATCTTTTAAAACTGTAGAGCCTGACAAGTCTAGTGACAGGTTTCTGGCTCAGGAACACCAGTTTGGTGGGCATTGGGACAGTCAGGAGCTGCACTAACCCCACTGTTGTGCCGTGGCTGCGCTGTTTGTGCAGTGGGCTTTGCTTTATCCTCCCCCTGTCTAATGTGCTGAGGTATCTTTTAATTGAATACAGTAACTGTCAACCTCTGGATATAATAATTGTCAAGCAAGAATGCTCTCCAAGCTCAAGCTGCTTGTAGAGAGAATTTTGGATGTTGGCCCACAAAAAAAAAAAAAGGCAAAAAATGGACAGCTGAACATTCCCAGTGTTAATGACAGAGCTTAGAATCCCTCAGTTGGACTGAAAGCTTTTCTGGGGAACTTAATTAAGCATCTCATGTTCTTGTAAAGGTTTAATGGATTTAGGAGGTGGGGCTGGAACTCAGTTCCTGACAGAAAGCAGCAGCCAGTGGTTTGCCATGTCATGTGTGTGCCCATTTGTTGATCGTATTTATTTCTTTTACAACATGGCAGTTCAATATCCAGAAATTACCAGCTGTGATTTGATGGGTTTTCCAGGTTATTTTCTTAATAATCATGGAAGCATTTAAATCTTTTAAATCAGGGAAACAGTACAATGGTTTTGATGGGGGGGGGGGGGGTGTTGGTTGTTTCCCACCCACCCCCCCCCCGGGATTTGATTGTTTTGTTCGGTTTTGGGGGTTCTTTTTGTTTTGTTCTGTTTTTTTTAAAGAATTTGTCCAAAATATACTTATAAAAACCTAATCCTCAAGCCTCACTTTTTAAGACAAATTCTCTTTATTCAGGTTAAATAAAAAAGACGTGCTCCTGTTGTGTTATTGCATAAACTTCTGTTACCATCCTTAGGAACTTTATTTGATTGTGTGGACAAATTCAAGAGACTCATGACTTTGGCAGGTCTAGAGCTGGTACTTCATAATAACAGGTGATCTCAGAAGTTTGGGGTCCTGTTTCAGATACAGACACAGTTTGTTCACAGAAATCAAATGAGTGAGGAGAAGGGTAAATATTCCAATCCCAAGTGGGATGGAATTTATTTTTACAATAAGGTGAATTCTTGCACTTTTCCTGGGGGATACAAAGTCCATTAAAGCAAGACATTCTCTGCATGTTCCAGCTAAATCTAAAGTAGAATTTTTGAACAAAGAGCATCCTGCGATTATTTCTCTCATTTATCTCCACGTAGAAGTTATGTGGGAGATCAAGGGACAGGTCCCATTTATATAAAGCAGATCATTTCCTCTCTGTGCATGTTTCTCTTCTGGTACAAGGAAATAATCTGTTTCTCAAAGCAGAGAGATGTGTAGGGTAAAACAAGAATTACATTCCTTCTCAGAAAAATGCTGCCACTATCCCCTGCACTGACTTTGTTCTGAAGGAGACTTTTAAAAGGAAGGGATTTTTGTCCATGAAGGCCCATCTTTCTAGGACAGGCATTCAAAACTAGTCTGGTGGAGGAAAAAAAGGCCAGTGCTAAGTGCTTCAGGAAAAAATTAGGGTGAAAACAACCCCCCCAAAATCTCCCTTTAAACAGTTTCCCATGAAGCAGTTGGCATTCTTATGGCTTTGATGGAAGTTGATGACTCACACGTTCATCTGCCAAGTGCATAAAGGGGAGCTAACACACTTTGCAGCAGTTTCCATTATATAAAACAATGTACTCTACAAATAGAATTGCAGAGTTCAGAAATAATATTGTGTAGCTGAGATTACAGCTTCAGATACTCCTGTGTCAGTCCTGGTGCAGAGAGCCACTGAATACCTGTACGTAGCCCTTTTCTGATGGTTGGCAGGGAGATCTGAGTGCATTGCTACATAAAAGAGGTTGAGCTCAGCATGCCTGTGGTTGCTGGACACGTAGGAAATAAGGGAAGCAGCTCGTAGGTGGAAGTGTCACTGTTCTGTCTGTACATTGTGCCCTTTTCTCTGCCAGTCAAACACTGGTTCTTTCCACATCTACAGAGAATTTTTGGTATTTATAAAAAACACATTCTGTTGTTGCCCAGTGAGGTTGTCCGTGCAGCGTTTGGGGTGTGAGGGCAGGTCTGGCATTATCCCCTTACAGGGATTCCCTGGATGCCTCGGCCTGGCTCATTCTGCTCCCTGGTGTTTCCAGGGTCGTATATGTTCTTGGTGTCTTGAATTGTGATGTATCTGCTGTTCTGGGCTTTTATCTTCAGCTCAGGGGTCCACAGGAACTGCCTCTTGGTCATTGCCATCAGCCTGCCCTTTTCCCTTCAGCAGCTTGCTGGGGAGTTCTGCCTGGCTTTGCAGGCCCTGGATACTCTTTGATCCTGGCTTGTAAGGAAGAGTCTGGGTAGAGGGATATTCTGTTGGCTACACATGGGGGAAATCTACTGTAAAGCCACGTTCAGGATGAAATTCAGCATCTCAAACTAACAGCTGCTGTCAGAAAATCCACCCTAGGGATGTGTGCAGGATGGGGTTCCCATCCTTCCTAAGATATCAAATGTAAATACAGTTACATCACTATAAAATGGCTTTACAGTAGAATAACTATTCGTATTTTAAGTGATTGGTATGAAAGTTCTCTTGCTGTAAATGCTGCATTGGTTTAAAAAAATCTAGGACTTGTGTTTTCCCTCTCCAGAAAGGGAACCTGGAACTCTGGGTCTGTGACAGTGAACCTTGTCCTGTGTTCAGTTGTTAAAGGAAAATGTTTCTTACGTGAAAGTGCCGTAATATTCTGTTCAAAATCTAACAGGAAATTCAGCTTCTTGTTGGGAGGTTTACCTGTGTAGGAGATCTTTAAAATTCCGTCCTCCTTGTACCTCATGTATGGTCCAAATGTACTAGTAATAATTGCAAATCTTATGGAGATTGAATTTAAAAGCATTCCAAAGTATATGTGAGGTAATTTATTGCATTAAAGGAAAAGGACATATTTGTGAGACTTCAAAAACAATTTTAAAAAGCACATGCACAGATGTAAAAAACCTGTTTTGTTCAGAAATCGATTGTTTGAAATACATGTTTTTAATTTCAGTGGTTTGGGCTTACAGATCAGAGCTGATAGAAATAGTGAAATTTATTTTTAATATTTTTTGTTTACTGTAGAGAAAATACTCAGGATGAGCTGAATGCAGGAAATGTGTTCCAAAAAGTACTGTACAACAAAACTGTATCCCTTAAAAACTCAGCAGTTTGAGCTCTTTGCCTTTCTGGAAGTCCCTAAAAATGCCAGAAACCTGAGGGGAAAGCACACCAAATACCGATGAGGGGTGTTGCTAAATGGCATTCCTTTGAATCTTAAAAGCATAAAATCAACTAATTGGAACTACCTTCCAAAGTATTATCAGATGATAAAGGCATTTTTAATTAAAATAAACAAAACAGCACAAAAATGGTGAAGAGGCATGGGTGCCTTTTTCTGTGATGTCTCTTCTGCCTTTTGTCCAGAAAGTTCCATGTCACCTGCTCAGTTTGGTTCCACAGACTTTGTTTTGAAGGAGTTTGTGCTTTCATCATGACTAGCAAACAGCAAACACAGTCTGATGAAAAGTGTGCAGTTCATGACTGCCTGATGACAGGAACCTACCTGAGCCCGTGCCAGGGAATTATCTGGTGTAAGGGCAGCTTTGAACGGGGAGCAGGAGTAAAAGATGAAAGAACAGGGAAGGCAGATGTGTGTCTTTGCTGGTGGCAGGATCTCATCTCCTTTTATCTTGTTTAGGTTTCTCCTCTGCCTCCTACTTAAAGGTCCATGTTAAAACCCACCACGGTGTTCCCCTTCCCCAGGTCTCCAGGCACCAGGAGTCCATCCCGAATGGGGGAGCAGCGTTCCACTGCGGCAGGACCTATGGCATCAAAGGCAAGAGACTCGCTGCTCTGACCTGCTGCTCTGGGCAGAGCTGTGTGTGCTGGGGTTGGGGCTGGGAGGGAGGAAGCACAGGGAAGCGCTGCAGACAAGCTTAGGGACATGCAGAGGAATTCCATAGTATCATGCAGGATGTGATATCTGACTTGGATAGGTGATGCGACAGGGCTGGGGGAAGGAGATGGACACGGAAGAGCGTAGGAATTTTTGGCAGCTTCTTTGATTTTGGAAATTGAAAAAGCCACGTTGGTTCATCTTGAGCCTCTCCCGTGGAGGAGCAGTGTCTGAATTTTGCCTGAGGGTGCAGATCATGGGCCAGTTCCTTAGTCCCACTCCACAGGAATCTCGTGTCAGTCAAACCAGGTCTCTGGTTTCTGGTGAAGGAAGGGGCAGCTGCAGAATGCAGTTCACAAAGACTCATCCTCAAGATTATGAAGGGCCATGCAACTCTCCGTAGCTAAACTTACACTTCTAAAAGCTGTTATTGGAGAGAAGAGGCAGAGGGTGGTAATAGCACTGGTACTTGTTTGTTTGTTTGTTTGTTTGTTTGTTTTTAACCTGCATTTAACTTCTGGGGGAAAAAAAAAGGAAAAATTATTATTGTAAGCCTAGCTAAAGAGTATTTAACTTCTGAACAAGCAAAGCAGTGTGTTTATCTGTGTAGAATAGCTTTTTGCCTTTTTGGTTTGAGCTGTCCGTGTTTGTGGTGAAGCTGAAACATCAGAAGATGTTTTGCTTTAAACCCATGGTCCTTACCTTTTTTCCTTGCCCAGGAGAACACAGCAGGCTGGGCCAAACAAAGTCTGTGCCATCAGAAAGCTACACATGTGCAATTTTTCCTGTCAAAGCATTACAGAGTTACTGCAGTAGCCCTTTGGTTTTGGGTGGTGTGCTGACTTAACAAGAGATTTACTCCAGCTCAGTGGTGTACTGATTTCATGCATATCCTGTTTGGTTTGTAATGCTGAGTCCAGAGCAAATCTGCCTTTTGGGTTGTGCCAAGTGGTTCTTTGGTCTCTTAGAGTTAATAGTAGGTACAGCTGATTTGTATTCAGGGACTGGTTCAGTGAGTATGTCTGGGTTTCTCACGCTCATTCACATGCACTGAGCAAGAAGTGTGGACAAACTTCCCTGGCATAGTGCCAGAGGAGAATGGGGAACACTCCAAACATCCCAATGGCTTTGGTAGGATATGTGTCCAAACAACTTTAAAACAGTGTCCCTGACATCTCTCCTTTTTCACACTACAGCATTTAAAGATGGAGCAATTTCAGATTGTGAAGTTCACTTTTAACAGTGTTGTACTGGTGAAAAAGAGTTCCTTAGACTCAGTGTAATTGCACTCAAACTGCAGGAGCTCACTGCTGTTGCTGAGTATTTTCCGGTTTCTTCCCATCTTGCTGCAGCTTTGTGAAGTTTCTCAAGGCTCTCCCCCAGAGTATCAACAGTATTTCAGAAGTGTGTGTGTGAACTGCACAGTTATAAACTCATCATTAGGCCCATCCTTTTGTAGTATCTGAGGTGTAAACATTGTGAGACATCTCTGAGATTCAAGAAGTGTTGTATAAACCAGAGACCCATTATGGTTGCATCCAGTATCATGACAAAGCCCTAATGAAACCCCAGCTGTTGCTCTGGGAGCAGCCTGGAAAGAGGACCTGTGCTCAGGGGCTGGAGAACGTGAGGGACTGGATTTTCAGCGTGTAACTCTGTCATGCCAGGCGTGAATGTGATCAGGTGTAACCAAGACAAGCTGTTTCAATGCTCAATAGCTGTTTGGGGCATGAGGTTCTGACAACTTCTCTCTTTTCTTTTTCCTGTAGAAGGCCAGAAATGTTCCCATTCGGACCCGATTGAGAGTTCTGATTCATACGGAGACCTCTCTGACACCAGTGACCTCAAGACTCCTGAGAAACAGAGCACCAACGGGTCCTTCTCGTGTGAGCTGGCAGTGAGCAAAAACAAAATGGAGACGGAAGGGGAGAAGAAATACCCGTGCCCTGAGTGCGGCAGCTTTTTCAGATCCAAGTCTTACCTGAACAAACACATACAGAAAGTTCACGTCAGGGCCCTGGGTGGCCCCCTGGGGGACCTGGGTCCTGCTCTGGGATCCCCCTTCTCACCCCAACAGAACATGTCTCTCCTGGAGTCCTTTGGGTTTCAGATCGTCCAGTCAGCATTTGCATCATCCCTGGTGGATCCGGAGGTCGACCAGCAACCGATGGGGCCAGAGGGGAAATGAGATCAGTGTGATCTTAGCAAAGCGAAGCAGCAGTCTGGCTATAGTGATAAGATGCTGTGAATGAAAGAGGAAATAATGAAATTGGGTTCTATAGCTGAGAATTTTTTATTTGTTTTAGCTTCCCTCTTTGTCTCATGCCCTACCCCCACCTTTAAACTTCCACTGGGGAGAGGGAGAAAATGCTTCTTAGCTGATAAATTACAGAAGATGGTGGCCTTGAATAGGAGATGTGACCCAAAACACTAAATGGAGCTTTAGAGGCTGCTGCTGGTGTTTCTCCGTGTTCCTCTGGAATGATGGAAAGTTGCCAGCTCTGGTGTGAGAACGAGGCAGTCCTAGTGACCGAGGCACCCGGGGAGCTACAGCTACAGGGAGCTATGGTTTTGTTCTCTCTCTATTCCCCACCCTCCCTAAACTACCCCAGAAAAACAGTAAGTTTTAAAAACAGACCCACTATTGAATAACATTGAAGTCAAATGCCCCGTGGTTCCTAGCAGGTTACAATGCAGTTGTCCTTCTAAAACCAGAAAAAATTTAAAGGAGGTGAGAGAATTCGAACCCCTTCTGCCTTTGTGAGGCTGTGAGTGCTGCAGCAGGACTGAACTGCTGACAAGAATCACCTTTCAGAACAGGTTGTTTTTATTACTTTTGACCGTTAAACTTGCTGTCAGGTTTTTAATTCTTTATTATTATTATTTTAGGACCTGTTGTAGTGAATTGCTACTGAAAAGCCAGTCTAAGGCGATACGCAGAGCACTCGTAAAGCAGCAGTCACATTAGGGTTAGTATTAATTTTTTTTTTTTTTTTAGATGTACCATAATTAATAACTTGGCTAGTTGGTTGTTTTAAGTCTATGAAAGGAATAGTTTTTACGAAAAGAAAAAAAAAAAAAAAAAAGGAAAAAAAAAAGGAAGGAAAAATACCATTGCAGTCTGGTTGACTGGTGCTCATTTTTCATGTGGGGACCTAGGGTATGAACACGATCAGCTATCGGGTTGACACTATGTACCACTGACTTGTTTAGTGTGAATAAACCCAGGGGTTCACAGAGTGATTTTGGTTTAATTGGACTCTATTAAAGAAGTTAGTATGTTACTTTGCATCCCCTCGTTTTGTCTGGTTTTTGAGCAATTCAGCCACCTGTCCGAAAGGTGTGCAAGTGAGAGCCAGTAAATAAGATGTTAATCCCACTCTACACTGTGCTGTATTCTGAGCTGGGCTTTTTGGCCACAGTCGTGCTCTCCTGATCTGCCTCTAGTCAGGTTTGCAAAAGCCAGTCTTGCTCCTTTCTTTCCCAAAGAAGGGTTCTAGTATAAGAGGTGGGAATTGCAAATCTCTGAAAAAGAGTTGATCACAAAACACAAAGAAGCTGGGCTTTAGGCTGTTGCAGGTTCCGTTCAATCTGAAAATACCACTTGTGCAGAAATAATGTCCTTTCTTGACCCTCCCTTTCCTCCCATGTTGCTTGTCAAGGTTTTATGTATCAAACCCAGGTATAAATGTTGTTTAACACAGGGTTAGGAGTTAGGAATACTCTGAGTTTTAATTATGGTTCTGCTGTTGATGCTGAAGGTCACATAGTACAGTTCCCTGAATTTGTTCCTAAATTTCCCATCTGTGAAGAGTTATAGAGAGGGTTAATGAGCAAAGGTTTAAGCAGTGTTTTGGTAAACTGCTCTGTGTTCTGAATGTCTCTAGAAGAGCCCAAGCCCCACCCCAAACTTGCATCCCATGGAACAGAGCCTGTGTCCATCCTCAGTACAGTCTGGAGCAGGACAGATCCCTCCGAGCAGGATCCACACCTGCTGCAGGAGACGTGGCTGTGGTAAATGGGATGGAGCCACAACCTGCTGTTGCACCACAGCCTGCCTTGCCCAGGTGCTCCTGATCCAAACCCTGCAGCTAATGCAGAACTGAAATCAGACACATTCCCATTTGGGTTTTATATTAGAATTATGGGACCTTTTGTAAGTATATGGATTTGGGAATGACCTCCTAAATTCTGCAGAATTAGAAGCCCCAGATTCTCTTGTTAGAAGCTACTTTTTTGTACTTGCTCTCCAGTATTATAAACCCAGGATGAATAATCAATGGCTTTCTCTTTATAGCACCAGCACTTTCTAAATTGAGAGCATGTTGCAGTGGACTTGATGTTTTGCTATTAATCTGTGTTGGGAGACTGAAGGACATGTTCTTCTCCAGTCATCTTCTCCCAGAATCCCTGGAATAAGTATGAGTCTCATGTAAAAGGAAAAAAGCAAACAAGCAAGCAAACAAACCCACCTTCAGACTAAAACTTCGTGGAATTACTGTTGCTGTACTGGTAAGATTAGTCGGCAGGTAGAAATAGAACATTTCAGAAAAGTGACAAAACATTTTAAAATACCTTACAGTACCTAGACAATGCTGAGACAACCTTGTAAGCTGCCAAGGAAGTCAGGCTGGAGCAGGCTTTCCAGTCAGCAGAACAATTCATGGGGATTAGCAGATGCAACTGCAGTCAGTGTTTCACTAACAGCTCATAGTTAAGCCACGAGGGAAGTTTCTGTTGAACTGAGGCTGGGTGCTTGAAGAGAGACGTTTGTGTCCCTGATGTTCCCACGTGCGCTTAAAGGGTCACAAAATTCAATTCCAAAAGCCAAATCCAGAGTATAGGACAGTTTCATCCTACATTTAGCTGCACTGACTTTAGTGTTAGTAGTGGGTTGACTTTTGGCCGTGTCTATCGATTTAATTTGGAAGGCTACAGAATCTGACCTGGTGAAACCAATGAACAACCTTGAACTAAAACCGAAGCCTTCTAAAACACCAACTGTGCATTCTGCTGTCAAAGAAAGTGCTTACTAAGGTGTCATGAATACACTGAATGAAAACTACTTACTTCTCAGTCTAGTGGACAGGGAAACAATTAGGCAGGAAGTTTACAATCCTGAAATGAGAGTTCTAGATCATCCTGGTGTAAATGGGAGAGATTTGTACCAGCGCAAGAGGCTGGTCAGGCTTAGTGCCAGCAGGAGGTTGGGCAGGTCTTGGGCAGTGCTGTGTTTTCAGGGCCCTGTGCTTCTTCGGGGGCATTACAGTTCCATTCTGGACAGTAATGGAACCTACATGCAAATCCTTTCTGTTCTGTACTTTGGGAAATGTCTGCTTCTCACAGAACGTGAGACAGATCAAAGAGAAAACCCAGCTCACGAGTTCAGAGGGAAGTAGGTAACATGCCCTGAGCTGCAGCTCACTTCTTGCTGTTCCATTTTAGTTTTAATTGCCATATCAGTGTATAGGTGATAGTTCTGATGCTGGCCCACCCTCCTTTCCTTGTCATCCCCTTTGGTGGGACTGCAGTCCGATGTTTTGAGTCGGTGCACGTTTCTGCCAAGGAGGGAACTTCTGTTCATACAAATCTGGATAATCAGAGTTGTAGTATTTGTATTGTAGGATCCCATAACCTTTTGTCTGAGGCTCAGTCTTGTGTATTAGGTATGATGAAAACATCTTCAGTCATTCATGATCTAAACACTAAAGACAGACAAGAAAGGAATAGGTGCTTATAGGTGAGTGAGTGACAGAAAGATGAAGGACTAAAAACCACTTGCATGCTTAAGTGTTGTGTTAAATGTAGGGGCGCAGATTTATCAGGCTTCTTTTATTGCCTGATTTGATCTTTATGTATGTTAATCCACAACAAATGCAAGGTAAAGCAATTTAATACGAATTTGTTCCGTGCTGAGTTAAATGAGGTGACATGACCTTGCATTTGTCATGTCTTAAATGTGTGCAAACAGACCCACCGGTGGGGCTCACCTGGGGCATGGGACTGTGGTGCATGTGAGCTCTCAGTGCCGAGTGATTTGCCCAAGATGATGTGGGAAATTGATAGCAGAACCAGAAATTGAACACAGATTTTTCCTTCTCTCAATCCAGTGCCTTAATTATAGTAGGGCAAAGTATTATATGTTGGGGGGGGGGGGGATTTGTTTGTTTTTTAAAGCCAAGATGGTGTGGAGTTGGTCTTCCTACCAATCTTTTGAATAATTGTAAATGCCCAGTCACAATTTTAGACCTGTTTGAGTGCCAGTGACTTAGGGAATATTTGTTATTTCCCATGTATTCCCTGAAATTATTGTTCCTCCCTCAACTGCTGTGGGCAGTAAGGAATGACTTGAATAGAAGAGCTGTGTAACTGAATGTCTATCTAACTCAACTAATTGAATTGCTAGTATGAAAGCTAACCTAGATTTTGTAGGCTCTGTTGTAACTTTAGTGTCTTGTTTTTTCACTAAATCTTTGTTCCTAGAAATCAGTATCTGAACTTATGTCTTGAGTCGGGAGTGGGGTACCACTTTCAGCTTTAATTTTTTTTAAGGTGCTTGCTTGAGGAAGTAGATGCCAAAGTAAACTTCAAAGGAACTCCAGACTTCAGTGTTGGAAGAATGAACGGAGAGCAAGAGCTCTCTTTGGGTTTCATGAGAGATAAATGGACAAAGTAAAAAACAGCCACCAAAATTCTAAGTCACGAAACTGGACAGAAAACAAGAAAAGGCTTTTCTTTACCGCCCACAAAAACAATCAGATATTTTCAATTGTTCAGCGTGGCAGAAACTCTGAGAGCAAGTGCCAAACAATCCCATGGAATGTGCTGGCTTTTTCAGCATTATTGTACCTTACCAGCATTATCAATATCCAGATGTAAATCGAGCCAGCTTTGTACTGTTCACCTTTTGCCTGGGCACAATAGCTGAGTTTTAATGAACAGAACATAAGCTCACAGTGAATCTCTGAGCTCATGCTCTCAGTTCCACTCTGGGAGACAAAACAAATGAGCAAAAAGGGAAAAAAAAAAACCACATTAGGAGAACTTAAAACAGATCCTGGAAGATTCCAGTGTCTCCTGAGAGAGTCATGGTTTTTATCCTGAACATCCTTTTCAAAACAAGATCCTTCAGCTGTTGTGAGGGAGCCTTTGGGAGCAGATTTGGCTTCCAGCCCCACGTGCTGCAGCTCCCTGTCCCTGTAAGAAGGTGTGTTTGGAGCATGGGGCTGGAGCCGGAGGGAGGGAGGCAGGGATGCTCCTGGTGTGAGCCACAGGTACTGCCACAGTCAGCAGCACCAGCACTGCAATGGTGTCCTGCCTGCTCCCCTGACACCCTCACCCTCCTCACATCCCTGTGCCAGTGTGGTACCTCCCCAGATGTGCCCAGCTGTGTGAGTAACTGTGAGTTCTACAACAAACCAGGGAACTATCTGGCTACAAAGAAAAAAAAAAAAACCAACCATTTAAAAATAGTGATGTGACATAACTGCAGAGTGATGCAGAGCAGGAGCCCTGCCTGTGAGGGGTTGTGGTGATGGCTGGAATGGTTCTGGAATGTTAGTGGAAAACCACAGTTGAGAGCTCTGTGTAGCAGGCAGTGACTGCCTGTTTGTAAAGAATTAACACCCTGTGTCATCTCCAGCCTCTTCCTGTGTTTGGTTCCTGTCTGTAAAATGAGACGATGATAACCCTGGGGTAAGGACGTGCCAGTATTTGATTGACATGCCAAATTGTGCTGCACAGTCGTGCTGCTGAACTCTGCTACAAATGTTTGGCCTCGCTGACTTCAGGTGTAATGCAAAGTTAAACAAACATCTGGTCACATTTTCCCTGAAAGGTGAGATATTTAAATTCATTTAAAGGCTGCCTGGCACTACTGATCTGCTCTCAGGGTTGATGTGAATGAAGCTTTCCCTGGGTGGCCTCTCTACTTGTACTGCAATTTTGGAGACCTGGAGGTGCTCTGAGCCGAGATGTGCTGAAGGAAGGAGGTAACTGGTACCTTCACTGATGTTCCAGTGACCCCCCTCCCACCTCCTGGTTTCCGTGGGGAACCTTCAGCCACCGGCAGCCAGAATTGCTCTTGAGCATCCTGCAGTCACACAGTGGCCTTGGGTAAGTGACTTTCTAATGGACCAGTCTCATGCTTGCTAACAGCCTTTTGGCTGCTGTGCCCACAAACTGGTGCCTTCTCCAGGCAATTTTTCCATGCCCTCTGCAAAGCTGTCAGGCTGACTGCTGGCTCCTGAGGAATCAACCGAGCCTTGCTCTTGGGCTCACAGTTGCTCTTCGGTACTGTTGTAATCTGAAAGTTTGCTGCAATTAGTGCAAATACCAGAGGGAGAAAATAAAAGGCTGTTCTCAGATGTCTGTAGAGTGAACAACTGAAACATGAGTGTGGGATGAGCCAGGAAAACTGGCATTTTCCCCTGGCTGCACGCCATATGGAAGAGACAGTGCCTTGGAAGGGAAGGAGCAGAAAAGTTTGCCATTGGCTCTGATGAATCCCAATCCTGCTTATACTGAAGTCGTTGGGAATCCTCCCATTGTCTTCAGTGTGAGCAAGAAAGGATCTTAGGTGAGGATGGATGACTCTTTCCCTACTTGAATGAAGTCTCTTGCCTATTTATGGGCCTGCTTCTATTGAAACCGAGCCTGTTTTAGCCTTTTTGGGTTCTTAGGGACCTGTTTGTATAAAGCAACTTACCTACCTATCTTTTTTTTTCTATTGTGTGTATTTTTTTGTATGTTCTGTTGGAAGGTGAAGCCTCTGTAGAAGGGGATACAAAACCTGATTTTTAAATAGTAATAAACCAAAAGAGAATTAAACTCTGCAGGCTGCATGCAATTCATTTCCTGGAGATGGAGAGTAGAGACCGTGAGTGCACAGAGAGATGGCCTGTGCTTCTCATATCTCAAAATCTTCCTCTCCTCAGAGACAGTTCCTGCCTTTGCACATCTCCACAGCTCTCTGTGAAAATCCATAATTGCAACACTGTGTACCAGGATGGCCTTATTTTGAGGAGGAAATCCTTTCTCTGGCACTGTGCAATGAGATTTCTTGTTTCAGCATAAGTGGATGGAGTAACAAGGATCTGTGAAACTCAGTATTGTATTCATTGAATGGCAGTGAGATAGAACCGAGACAGGATATATAAATACATTTTTGCTTCTGGCCTGCCCACCTCAGGTGCTGGGGCACTGCCCAGTGCACAGTGTTCTAACTCCACACCATTACAGTCTAAAGAAATAAGTGCAAGTATTAGGTGAAACTTTCCTAAGCCTTTGTTCCTTCCTGGCTTTTTACCTCCTGAGGATGTTGCCAGCTGGAGCTCTGACTTTCTAAAAGAGAAACCAGAAAGACCAAAATAACAACAGAGTTTTTCCCTGTTCTGTAAACATGCTTAGGGAACAGAGCGTTTGCTTTTGTAAAGAGATGTGAAACAGTCCCCGTGCATATGTCAGTCAGGAGAAAGGCTATCTCTGCATGCCTAGGGCATGTGTGTGACCCAGAGAAAGGACAGAGCTTTGCCTTTCCACACAGCAAAGAAAGGGCAACTTCCCAAAATCAACAACTCCTCCCGCAGCCTTCAGGCAAACACCTGTGGAGAGAGGTCTCAGTACCTGTGTGCCAATGGTTTTATCTGCTTTCAGGTCAGCTAAGAAAACAAAATCCAGAGGTGGGAGCTCTGCATTGTAACTCTGTGAGTCCTGCTCTTTATGAGGAAGAAGTAGCTCTGCTGCAAGGTTTGGTCTCTGCATCTCTGTTCACATGTTGAATTACAAGGACAGCCATTACAAAATGAGTCTCTGTTTCTGCTCTTACATTATGACTCCAGTCCTCATCCCTAAACCCCAGAGAGATATGAAAACATGTGTTTGGGGTTTTTTTATGTCTGCAAGTTTATAATCTTCCTGCCTTTCTGTTGGCTTGGAATATGGGTCACTTGCTTATGAGTGCCTGAGCTATTTGGACATGGTGTATTTTCCACAGGAACTGGGAGTTTGGCATATTTAAGTGCAACTCTAACCTCAGGCTTTCCACAATGGAATCTAACTCCTACTTTGATAATATTCCATGATTCTTGAAGTTTAAACAGCAGATTTTTGAGCTATCACCTCTGTTTGACTGTGAAATCGGATTCCATGGTAAGGGAAGGGTTGGTATAAAGATATTTAATAATCCAATTCACTGGAGGTCAATTTGAACAGATATCAGAACAGAAATCTTTATTCCTTTTGACTCAAATCTCCAGACGTTTTTGTGCTGCCTTGTCATGTTTCTCATGTGCAAGATAACCCATTATTTTTAGAAAGGCATTTTCTAACGAGTGAACGTTGGTTTATCAGATTGCTCAGCTTTGCCAGGTACTGCTGGGCACAGCAGTGGACTGAGAAACAAGAAAGCTACACAGGTACTTCTATACCTGAAAAAACAACTAAACAACACATTCTCCAATTTTTCTTCTTGCATTAATGCTTGTTTGTACTTTTCATCTAAGTCAGCTCTACACATGCAGAACTTGAGAACATCTCAAGTCCTTATGTGCATATCCACCTTCAGGATTCCTTCCCCTGGAATACCATTTCATAAGGTAGGTACTGCGTGTCTGAGGCTTTCAAGTACTTTGCAGACATTTAATAATTTCTGCCTCTGTGACATAAGTAGTATTAACATGGGAAACCAAGGCAGAAGCTTGCCTAAGGTCAAGCAAAGATCAGTCAAAGAATTTAGACCAGGGCTCCTGTTCTTGGCTCAGACCTATGTGTTCTCTGAGTAGATCACAGTGTCTTTCAAAATAGCTTCCCTTCCTCCCCCCTTAAACATGCAGGCTCTGTTTTTTGTCAATAACAATCTGCATCTGGGAGAAAAACCAAACAATCAAACAAACCAACCCAGCAAAAGCCAGTGCAATGGGGGACTGAACCACGGTTAGGCAGCTGTACCTAATTCCAAACAATATTGCTATGGTTGATGGTATCCTGCCAGGAGACCCCCCTTTGGACGGCAGGTAGAGCCGTGTCTGTGATCCAGGCACCGGGAAAGAGCTGAGGGCCGTGATCCACGGGGAGTCCTCCACAGCTGCCTCAGTGGGCCAGTGTGAACACAATGTCTGTGGGCACTTGGGCCCTTCAAACCCACTGAGAAGAGCTGTGGGAAGGCACTGGGCAGCGTGTGACAAAAAGGACAAAGAAGAGTTGCTGTTGGAGAGGACTGCGTGTGAAATTTCTGAAGTCAGCGAGTGTTTGGTGCTAATCTCTTAATGCTGGCAAAGTGGAGCTGCGGTGCTTCTCCCAGGAAACAATAGGCCCCACATTGCCCTCCCGAGGCCTCTGTCCTTTTAGTGCAGCCCACACAGAAAGCTCATCTGAGAAAGCACTCGCAGTTAGTGGAGCAACCCCTGAACCAGTCTGAACCAGTTCAAATATCGCATCTGGTTGTTTTGCTTCTGCAGACTTCCTTGTTAGTCCTTGGAGGCTGGGGCTGGCATTTACTGAGCAATAGCTCATGCTGTCAGACCGGAGGGGGAGGGAAAGTCTCTCCTTGAGCGTGTCAGCAGGGCCACGCCACAGTGCCATTGGATATTCCTGCCCCTCCACACCGGCTCCTTTGGAGTCACTGTCTCTGTCTCGATTTTGGGTTATACTCGGCTCAGTTTCATAAACTCAACATCTGATCCTTTTGTTGCAGCCCTGATGCTTTTTTCTTACATTCAAATTGTTTTTGGGTTAGAAATGAAAGATATTTGTTTACAACTCCTCCATCATTGCTTACAGAAGGCTTTTTACAGGTGAGACCCACCATAATTTTCATGACCAAGACAGAGGCAACAAAGGAATAGAAACCCTGTTTTTGTTGGAGTTGGAAGTACATAATAGTGTTTAGTGACATTCGATGCTTTAAGCACAAATTGCTCTAATAATCTCTTCATGGTAGGCGAGGTCTCAGGATGTACTTTATTCTTGAGCGTTGCAATTTATGAAGGAAGCGGAAAATGGTTTAGAAAAACAAGTTTTGAGGGAAAATTGTAACAATTATTTTGGTTGCCTAGGAATAAGAGAGGGAAACTTATGGGAACATGACATGTGTTCTATTACAAGGAGGGCAGTGGTCAGCTTTTTCCATTTTAAGCATTCCTTGTTAATTTGGCTAAGAAAGATTACTCAGATTAGAAAACTCATTTTGCTTACTCCCCTCAGTGTCTTATTTGGTCAGATTAAGTAATAAAGCATGTTGGTTCTTGCATAGGAGATCAGATGAATTTTTGCCCAGGAAGATCTGAAGGCACTAGGCTGTGGCCAGAGAAGGAGGGTGGGTTTGATGGGTTCTTGCAGAGTCATTCCAGAGCTGTACCTCTGTGGCTGCCTCCCTTGGCACAGCATGCTGTGCTAGGTGGGAGATGCCTTTTATTTTTCTATTTTTTCTTTAAGGAAAGTCTCAATGCACTTTGAATTTTTCCACAGGTGAAAAAAAGTAGAACAAACAAACAAGAAAGAGCAGCTGACAGACAGGAGAGAGAAAAAAAGCAGACACTGTTCATTCTGGAACCTGTATAAACAGCAGAAAGGTACCAGCTCACAGCTGAAACTGGTTCACACTGAGTTTAGGGAGGATGCTTAATGTCCCTTTTTCCTAAAAATAGTGTATATACTCTCCTGTGAAGTGTTTGTGGATGTGGGGATGTGCTGTGATACATGTATGTGTACACACCTACAGAATTCTCCGTGTAAACTGTGTGGGGATGTAGCTGCAGAGCTATTGGATTACATATAGTTTGGGTAGTTTAAAATCAAGTCCTGGGAAATAATGTCACGTTTAATCTGTAAAAGTGTAGCAAGAAGAGCAAACCCATTCCCAAGCAGCAGAAAGAGCAATTGAGTCTGCCTTTGACAGCTGCCACCTGGCATCCTATTAAACTTAACTCTGTGAAACTGCCAGGCATAAATCTTCCCTCATCCTGGAGAAAGCTAAAGATGAAAGAAAAAAATTATGCTTAGAAGTCAGTTGTGGAAAAGACTTTGATCTTTACCATTAATGTGAAGGTTTTTGCATTTCTCCCAGATTCCCCATTGTCCCTCTGTGGACTAGAAACTCAATTTGTTTTCTGCAACTTGGCTGGGTGTAATGAGAAGTGCAAATTTATCTTGTTACATGGCAAGAGAGCAGGGAAGATCTGAGATTTGTTTCCACAGAGATTAGTGCAGTTCCTGGATCAGTATGTACAGGAGGAGGTGCTTTCTGTACTACATGGAATGGAGGCATTAGTTAGTCTCATGAAATGAGCAAAAAGAAATTAATTGTGCGGGTTGGCCAGCCCTCTGCAAACTGTTGTGGACAGGCAGTGCTTCTGGATGCATGTGTGGCCCTGCAGTTTCTGCTGAATGGGATCTGTCCCATAAAATCTGTGATGAAGAGCTATTACAAACAGAAGGCTTGATTCAATAGCCCTTATTAACAATTCTTTCTGACTCCAGTTAGCCTTGCCTTCACAGAGAGTAACTGGAGAGCACCAGGAATGCAGGAACGGGGTGTCTGTGCAGACAATGAGCGTAATGCCACAAAGGAGGAATCTTAGCAGTTGGGACTGACACGCACAGTTGGGTTTTGGTTTATTGGTTTGGTTTTTTACAACCTGGCTGCAGGTTTGTTTTTTTTTTTTAATCTGACATTATTAAAGTAAATTTTCTGTAGTGGTAAATCATATTGTTAAAGCATGAATCACACACGAGTGTGTGCTGAGGCCTGTGGTCTCATACTCAGTGGTAGTGCTGCTTAATTGACCTGTTTTCCTCATCTACCCATCTGTCATGCTGATATGTCTGTGTTTTTGTGGCTCCATTGGGGACTGGATGCAGCAGATAACCTGGTTGTAAAGGGGTTAAAGTATTCGTGACCTGGTGAAAAAGGGGGGAAAAGTTGGGTTGGATCAGCGCCTTGAGCCAGCTTGTCACACAAGTACCTGTAGCAGCCTGAGAGAGCCCTGCCAGGATGGAAATATCTGGGAGGGGAAGGGAAAGGCCACTGCTCCAGCCAGCACTGCCCAAAAGAGTGATTCATAAAACACTGAACACAACCTGCAGCTTCCTGGCATAGAAATACTTTTTATGTTTTCAGTGGTTTCCATGTGATTTCAATGCACTTTAAAAGAAGGGAACTTCCCCGTCCTCTTCTGAGAAGGGAGGTTTGATTGTACCTCATGTAACAGAAAGGAAAGGAAAGCGCAAAGAAGTGAGGCGGGCAGGCAGACTGGCCAAGGTCAGGAGGAACTCTGTGGGAAAGCCAGAAATAGCACCTTGTGCTGCAGGCCTGTGCCTTGGCTACAAACCCATCAGTTGGCCCAGGCTGCCTTTGCGAGCTCATTGTCAAACAGCACCAAGTATTCAGTGGCTTGTTTTTCACTGGTGTAAAATAGAAGCATTGCTGAGGACTCCAGATGCTTGTGTACAGTCGCTGGTGTGTTCAGGAACAGAAGTATCTATTGTAACCCATTTGAAATGTCTGCAGAGAGGCTTTATCACAGTGGCTGGGTGCCTGCAGTAGAATTGCTCTAAAGCATTTTAATGCTGTTTACATTGCTTTTTCTATGAGCGAGCACATCTCTTGGGGGATGTGGAGTCAAAGGAAAGCAATGGATTAGCAGAGGTGAGAATGCAAACCTTTAATGGGGAGGTGCAGTGTGTACCACCAGCAAGGTCTCCTCTCTAGAGAAAAGAGAACTCAAAGGGAGAATCTGGGCAGGAGGATTTAGTCCTTCGTGGAAGTTCTCTATGGGAGTGACCAGTTTTAGGTCCCTTTAGACAAACACTTTCCCTGCCTCAGGCAGCGATTCAAGCGTAGTTCCGTGTGGGAAGTCTCTTCTGGCCCAAGACTTTTCTGCGACTGTCGGAGACGAGCCCAGGGACGCGGAGCTGCGCCTCGGCAGCGCTTCCCCGCGTTCCTGCCGAGCCCCACGGCCCGGCGGAGCCGAGCCCCCACCTCAGCGCTCGGTGCCGCGGCTGGGACCCTGCTGGGCGGCGGGGGAGCGGCGGCAGGTTGCCGGCTGGCCCGAGCCCTGCCCCGCGGCGGCCGCCCCTTCCCCTCCCGGGGGCGGGCGGCGGCGGCGGCAGCGTTAGGACCCGGCGGCGGCTGCGGGCGGGGGGGGGAAGCGCAGCCCGGCGCTTGTTTACCGGGGAGCGCCGGGGCAGGGCTCGCCGAGCTGCGCGGCCGGGCTGGCGGCGGCTCCGAGGATGCTGCCCGGGGCTCCGCGGCGGGCGCTGGGCGCTGTGCTGCTGCTGGGCTCGCTGCTGCTGCTGCCGCTGCCGCCGGCCGCCCGCGGCGCCGAGGGTGAGTGCGAGCGCCGGCCCTTTGTGGGGGACAAAGGCCGGGCTGGGGAAGGAGGGAGACCCCCGTGGGGGAGGGAGGCGGGGGCCGTGCTGGGGGCGGCGGTGGCCGGCCCCCCGCACGGCTCGGCTCGGCTGGTGTCTCCGCAGAGTGCCTCCGCGGCAACGGCGCGTCCTACCGCGGCAGCCGCCGAGTGGCCTCCGGCGGCGCCCCGTGCCTCAACTGGCTGAGCGTGCGGAGCCCATCGCTGCCGGCAGGTGGGTCCGGGCCGGGGGGCGGACAGGGGGGGCCCGGGGGGCCCGGGGGGCCCGGGGTGCGGCGGCCGCGCTGACGGCCCCGCTGCCCCCCAGCAATCAGCGAGGACCACAACAGCTGCAGGAACCCGGACGGCGCCGCCGCGCCCTGGTGCTTCGTCCGAAACGCTGCCGGAGACCCCGAGCGGCGACCCTGCGACATCGCCCCGTGCTCAGGTAAGAGCGACCCCCCCCGTCCTGCCCTCCCCGGGCATCCCTCTGCCGGGGGGGGCTGGGTTCGTCGCCAGGGTGGGGTCCCCCCTGCGCACAAACAACCCCGGGCTACGCCAGCACCTCCCCCGGGAACACGGCGTTCCCGGGGCTCCCCTCCAGCACTCCCCCATGTATGCACATCTGCCTCCCAGCTGTGCCTCGCTCCACCCCTACAGCTTTTCCATTAGTGCCAGAAAAGGCCTGTGGAAAGTCCCCACTCCCCCACATTTCACTAGTCACCATAGGGCTCTTTAGCGGAGTTGCAAAAGGGCCGAGGTCTGGGCATCTAGGAACGGCAGAGGTGTTGGGAGAGTCCTACTCTGGGGCATGTTACAGCTGATTAAAGGAGCTGCTAAACGATTCCTAGTGGGAATTTGAGTACAGGTGGGGGAAAGATCTTGGAAAAAAAGAGAATTTTAAGGGAGGACTTGAAGAAATGAAAACCCCAAACACTGGATTCCCTCTGGATAGTCACAATAGGAATAGTTTGCCAAGAAGACTGTAGCTGAAGCCTGTTTCAGGGAGAGGTGATGTCAGTGTTGACTGACGCCAGAGTAGCCACTTGGGGTTTTTTGAACTGTTTACTAATTTCTGAGTCCTGCAAGATTTACGCACTCGCCGTCCCTTGAGATTGCTGTCCTCGCGTGTACATACTTTTCCCACACACAAACACCCTCCCCTTTTCTTCACTTTGCTCTTTTTTTGCCTGCTTTTCCCTGAAGATGGAGCAAAACAAATGTTCTGCTGCAAAGAGCCTTACTCAAAACAGTCCTGCAGCTTTGGGATCAGGAGAGTTGCCTGCCCTTTTGGCCGTTTTTATGTCTAATGGGTTTGACTGTTTCTGTGTCTCACAGTGGGCACCTTTCCCTCTGCAACAGCTCCCTTTAGTTCAGCTTCCCTGGCTGACCCTACCTGAAGTTATTGTGCAGTGCAGGAGACCCTGATTTCCTGTCTCTAATCCCCCTTCTGTACTTCCATTTCACGTTCCACTGAGGCCTCAAAATGGCTGCAGGTAGAAAATCCACATGGAGTTATTGCCAGCTGTGGGGCAAAATCCATGTGGAGAGTTTTCAGGATTTATACTGTGCATAGCATTTCCAAAAAGTAGGGTTTTTTCCTGTAGAGCAGATAATAGATACCTACTCTACACTGTCACAGCTTCTACTGTGCTACAGCTTCCATTTGAACTGTGCCATGAAAGAAGGTGCTACCTTGAAAATCTTTCAATGCTGCTGATAAAAACCAGCACTGATAAAAAGCAGGGCTGGGAAGGGACCTGAGTGTCCATCCTTGGGTGCCTTTGGGCCCTGGCTGAGCAGGAACTTGCTGTCCTTACACTCACCAGTGGCTTTGTTGCCTGGGGGGCTGCTCTGACTTAGCCTGTCCAACATACTAAAGGAGTTTGCTGCTCCACTGCAAAGAGGGGCTGGGGGAGAAGAACATCCCCCACGTTGTTTTCACACCAGCTGGAGTCTCCTTCTGTCAGACTTCCCTGTGTCAGGAAGATTGAGGCAGAAGAGAGATAAATAGGCTCCTGGGAGATCTGGGATGGAGATTCTCATAATCTTGTTCACGTCTGTTCAGCATGATTGAAGCTGCAGCCTGTATATCGATCTATACATTAAATGAAGTCATTGTGCATCCCCTGGACTCGTGCCCTGAACCTGGGTTTTGTGCTGCTGCCTGACTTCTGTCTCATCTGTGGTGCTGCCTTGGACTCTTGGTTAAATGGCTTCATGTCAGAGGAAGGTGGGGGGAGGAGAGTACATTTCTTGTCTACTTTGGGAGGATTTCTGGCAACAACTTAAGAGGGAACAAACACATGTTGTTTTGAAGTACTCGTCAGTGCTTGGTATGTTGTATATATATTTTTTTCCTCTCAACAGATGCTACAGCTGCCACAGCCCCAGTCCCTACAGCAGAGGTTGGTGCTTCTCAGGAGGATGAGCAGGTGTTTGAGCCAGCTGATACCTTGCCCTCCCGGAGCGAGGCAGCCGCAGTGCAGCCCGTCATTGGGATCAGTCAGAGAGTGCAGATGAACTCCAAAGAAAAGAAGGACTTAGGGATGCTAGGTACAAGCCCAGGATTATGTGCTGGATCCGTTCCTGTAATTGTGTTGGGATGGATTTGTTTTGAAGCTCTGAAAGGTACTGCCTCTAATTTTGTCTCTTTTCTTTTTCTTCTCGCAGGGTATGTGCTGGGGCTGATCATGATGGTGATAATCATTGCCATTGGAGCTGGCATTGTCCTGGGATACATCTATAAGAGGTGAGTGGCTGTTCTCATTTGTCCAGAAGCTGATGTGTATAGAGCAGGAGTGTCTGAGCACCTGCAGACCTAATCAGATCCCAAGGAAAAGGGACATATGTTTGGTTGTGGGACATTGAGCAAGAGTTTTCTTTGTGCCGCTGAGGAAAGAACTACTGAAGAGTTAATCCCATTTTCCATTTCACCCATCAGTGTGGTGTTCTGTCCCATTTAAAGTTTCAAATTGCCCTCTTTATTCTTTGCTTTTTTGTGTGTGCATGTGTGCCTTGATGCGGCTTCCTCAGATGTGTTATTGGGAGCTGGAATTTATGCAAAGCTGGAGAGAGCAGATCCCAGGTGCCCTCTGTGATCAGAAAAAGAACAATCCTTCTAGCAGGCCACCTGTTCCCCTACTTTCTCTAGTCTAGCTTTAGAAAACAATTGGCAATTTTTTTGCCACTCGTGCATTGTATCCTGTGAAGCTGAATACCAACCAGCACTTCTTTTTGGTCAAAGTTCATTTTACCAAAGCTCTCGTATATGTAAGATCAGTTTTCATTCTCACTTCAATTACTGTTTCTTCATCCACTTCACTGTGTTGGATGGAAATGTTTCTGTAGCTCAGCAGCCTTTGAGGGAAGTGGCAGCAGCAGCTTAGTTGTAAGAGAGAGGGCAGGATTGACAAATAGCAGTGATTGTCGCTGCAGCGAGCGAGGGCCCAGGCTCCCTCCTCTGGGAGGGTTGGTTCTGTGTTTTGGCTGTTTGACAGCAGTCTGACACAACCAAGCAGAAGGAGCCCTTTCCCAAGCTGGGACACGTCCTTATGTAAGTGTTTATAATAAATGCCGACAGGAAAAAAAAAACAGAGGGAGGAGTGTTACATAAGGGGCAAAACACAGAGCGCTGCTTGTCGAGGAATCTGATTTGAGGTGTCACTTCAGAGAATGCTGTCTTGTGTGCTGGCAGGGACGGCAGCTGCTGCTGCACGCTCGTAGGCAGCTTTGAAAAGCAGCCAAAATGCTGACAGGAAACCCCAGCAGCTCCGCCTGGCTGGGATCACGAGCCCCGGGAGGAGCTCTGTGCCTGTCCCACCTCGCCGCTCTCCTGGGCGGCAGGAAGCAGTAGACCAGCGTTGGGCTTTGTCCAAGTGCAGCTTTGCTTCTCCAGCCACAGATTGCTCACAGCAGGACTGCAGTGCAGGTTTACTGTCTCCCTCCTTGCCTTGATGTCCAAATTGCATGTGCAAGCTGGCAGGTTTGGGTAGGTGTGGTGAGAAACCTTTAATGGGTTTGGTAGCTTTGGGTATACATAGCTTTTCTGGAGACAACATGCTATTAATGCCAAATCCATTTTTAAAGTGAGGCAGCTCTTCCTCAGCACAAATTACAGAGGTGTTCCTTCCCTTAGCAACAGGCAGGAGGCTGAGGTAGGTTTGAGAGCTGGTTGTGGAGTTAGGCTTTAGCTGCAGCAGCAGAAGGCAGGGCCAGCTCTGAAGTCAGCTTTAATACTTTCAGGGACAGCTTAATTCGCTGCAACAAAAACCAGAAGCTGTCACCAGCTCTGGTATTTGTTGCAGATGAAGCAGGTTACAGAAGCCTTTCTCCACAGCAGTGGGCTCTGCACTGTCTCACTGCTCCCCTGGGCCTGCACCAGGCTGTGCAGGGGGACTGTAAGGGATAAGGAAACATATGGCAGCTCCGTGGTTTGGAGGGGAGGCCTGGCTTTACAGTCATCATTTAGCAGCAGCAGTGTCAGTGAATAAGCCAGTTTGAGGGAGGGACAGACTTCACTTGGCTGCTTGTTTTTTAAAGATGCTCAGCTGCTTACAGTAGGGAATATTTCGGGCCCTTTTTAAGTAGCTGAAACAGCTGTTTATCTTATAGTAGAGAAGAGGGGACTCTGCTCTTTTCCACCTTTACTGAGACTGCCTCCAAGCAGCGGCACTCACCCCTTGCACATATGTTTTTTTATTTTAATGTAGGGGGAAAGACCTGAAGGAGAAGCACGAGCAGAAGGTTTACGAGCGGGAAATGCAGCGCATCACGCTGCCGCTGTCCGCCTTCAGCAACCCTGCGTGCGAGCTGGTGGAGGAGAACACCATCGAGGTGCACACCACCCAGACCCCCCTGGAGGACACGGGCAGCGGCCCCCTCATGGGGCAGGCGGGGACTCCTGGGGCCTGAGCAGCTCAGGCAGGCGATAAAGGCTGAGCAAAGCCTCCAGCTTCCCACTGTGAGTGCAGGGGGTGCGTGTGTTCGTTTCCGTTTTGTTTTCTTTTCGATGAACGCCGGCTGAGGGTGATGCAGAGGAACAGAGCAATGGGCTATTCATCACCATCTGTTGGAGGGGCACCGTTCAGTGCGTGACCGGCTGGGAACTGGTGTGGTGGACCCTGCTGCTTCCTCCCACCTATCTCCGTGGTGTGCCAAGGAGCTGGGGGGGATGATGGGCCAGGCTCACGACTGGCCACAGATCCCATAGCCCAGAGCGTGGTCTTGGCTTCCTCTGTTTCTGTTCCTTTCCTATTTAATGGTGTGCACTGTTTAAGTTTCAGCCTGGAACCCCAGGAGGGAGCAGTACTGCAGGGACTGAGGGGAGCTTCACATCAGACTTAGCTACATAATTACACTCTGATTATAGTTCCTGCCTTTTGCTTTAGTAGCTGAGAGCTGGAAGCACTGTCCAGAATTCTGCTACTGGATCAGTTTTATTTTCCAAGGAAGAGTTTATTTGAGGGATGTCTTTGGCCAGGAGCAGTGTGTTTAGCCCCAGTGTCAGTTTGGAAAAGCTCTCCTCAAGCTCTTGACAAATCCAGGTCTTCCAGGGCTGAGGCCACGTCTCCATTCCCCTGTGGTGGTACATGCACAGCCCCAGTTGTAGGTGTGGGTGTGGTCTGTGTGTGCCTCCTGCTCACTTACACAGATAGGAGACCAGGGGCCAGCAGAAGATACTTGTGGAGTGAAGAAACTGCCCTTCAGTTATTAGAGCAGGTAAACACTGAGGAATAGATATCCTCTCTGGAATTCCCTTGGCCTCCTACAGAGCCAGTGCTGGACAGAGTGGCCAAGCTGTGGAGGTCACCCAGCTCACAGTGCAGCAGCTCTGGCTCCAAGGGCAGGACAGGGCAGTTGTTTGGGAAGATCCTGAAGTCATGGCGTGGCTCCCGGCCCAGCCTCTGCCACACACACTCAGCTTGTGCAGCAAGACTACTTACTTACAGAGCCTGGCCCTATTCGAGAGGTTCTGTAATGACTATTATTAGCATTTCAGGGGGTTTGGAAGGGATGGTTGCTACAGTGTCTCCCAAGTGGCACCAAGGCAAGGCCAGTTCAGGGAAACACCCGTCCCCACCTCAGGGGATTCAAGCCATTCAAGTTAAGTTTTCTAGCCATCTGCTTTATAGCTGTGGGCCTAACAGGGAGCAGCACTTGGCAGCAGGGGTTTTAGTGTTAATGTTTGATTCTGAAAAGGGAAATGTTTTATTTTTAAATGCCTTTGAATACCATTTCTTTGTAAAATGTTTTAAATACCTCATTATGAGAAGGTGCAGACTGTGCTACCTTGTATTAAAGCTTAAAAGAAAAAATGCTCTGTAGACCTGTGTGGACTGTGGCTCATCTGTGCATTCCCCTGCCAGAGCAGCACCCTTTGGATTGTTGCAGATTGAACTGAGGAGAAAGGAAGATGCCACTTCAGTTTGCCAGGCCCAAAAGTAAATTCCTACAAGCAGTGCCTTCCCTCACCAGCACTGACATGGGACATAGAGCTCGTCTCCTTGCTGCCAGCAGCTGGTCTTGGACTGGGACACTGTTCCTGAAAAGCAGCTGGTGACTCAGCAGCCTGGCCCATGGCAAGACACTCTTGGTTCCAGCCCCTTCCTGCACTGACACGGGTCAGTTCTGCTGCGGTGCTGCTCAGCAGCAGCTCCTTCCCTTGGGAAGCACGATGGAGACGGAGCACAGCGCGTTACAGGAGCCACTCACAGAGCATTTTTGTTCACTTGTTGCCTTAACAAATGCCCTTGGACTGCATATTTCAGAATAAGAGGTTTCCAAGAACAGGCTGTATTTTTATCCCTACACTAGAAAAGGAAAACGAAAGGAGGCTCCATGTTCTGCTGATTCCTGTCCACCCTTAGAAACCAACCAACCAACGAACAGAACTGAACAACTTCTCCGGGTAAACAGTCCTACAGAGCCCTTGCACTGAGAGTCTGCAGTTGTGTGAATGTGGCAGAGCCCACTGACTCAGAAGGGGGGTTGTAGGTGGTACCTCACCTGGACACTGTTGATGTTGCCATGTTGTGACTACAAATGAAACCCGAGAAAGTTACAGCTTCCGGCTTTATTGAACACAGAGACCACAAACTCTCATCCTCAGAGCGTTCAGTTACTGCTTTTTAATTTAGAGCGTGGAGCTGTGCAAATCACAGTTCATAAACCCCACCCACACATCACCCAGGACTCTCCCCTTCAGGGGTCCCCTCACAAACCAGCCTGGGAGGGGGAATGAAAGGGCAAATCCTATTAATAATCCTGAATCCACTGGACCCAGTTTGGTGAGGCTCCTCCACTGACTCACAGCACAGGGAGTCCCCAGTGTTTCTAAAACACCACTACATGGACTAAAAACACCCCCCCTCTTGCACATCTGTTGTCATGAGATGGCTGGTCCCATGTTTTTTAACATAATACTTTAAACTCATGGGTAGGGGGAGGAAATCAAAGTAACAGCAAAGACTAACACCCATTCCCCACCATTCAATGCTGAAGGGAGGAGGGGGAGAAAGGAGCACACTCGAAATCCAGTTAAGAGCAGGACTTGATCCAGCTTTTGGTTCAGTTCTGCCAACCACACGAGCTACTGCAGCAGTAGCTTTACTTCCTCTCCCACCCAGGGAGGAAGAGAAGTACTGGAAGAAAATACACCCCCACCTACCTCCCAGTGACTCCAAGCCCTTTCTTCTCCCCCAAAGCAGGGAATGACCCTGAGGAAAGTTTCTGCTTGGAGAATCAGTTCAGGTGCTGCAGCAGCAGCTGCAAGAAGGACCTTCAAAGGGAGCAACTTGCACAGTCTGCAGGAAAGGATGAGGTAATGGCAACTGAATTACTCGTTCTCCAGCTGCCACTCCGGAGAGGATGGGACGTTCTCCAGCACTTCTCTGTTCATGACAAGTCCATCCTTTAAGTAACCTTGGGCAAGTCCCCTTTGCTGTTGTCCACACGCAAGGTCTGAGCCACTTCAAACCTTTTGCTTCCGGACGAGCACCTTTTGCCGCCCTTTCTGTCACCTCACGTCCACAGGCCGGGAGCTCAAGCAGCTTCAGCACTCCAGGAATGTCCCCAGCCAGTGCCTAGTGCAGTTCTACACATTCAGGTTCAAACACCTTCACCTGGGTAAAGTCTGGGGCAGGCAAAGTCACTGCAGGCGCGGGGGCTGAAGATGCCCCAGTGGCTCATTTGCTGCCTGCCTCATTCACCATCAGGAGGGGCAAGCAGAGCTCAGTCTTAGTGTTTCTAGGCAGGCTTTTGGAGGTATTCTGAGACTGATAAGGAAGAAAACCACAAAACCAAAACAAAAATCCATACATGCTTTCCCAGAGACAAGGTATTTCAGGAGAGCTGCCCAGTTCCTGGGGCTTTTCACTGTCTCCCCGATGCACGTGGGAGGTCAGCATCTCAGTGGGCTGTTCTGGGAAACACATGCACAAACATACACACGTGTGCTGTCCTGGTGGAGTATTTTGCTGGATATCCAATTTTCCCAGCTTTCTGAGCAGGGCAGTCAGTGGGAGAAGCAGTTCCAGAAGTGCTGGTTCTTAGCCAGGAGAGTCTCCTATAGCAATTCCCTCCCTGGCAGACAGGCCAGGGTGGCTTCACAGCTTGCAGCCAAGTTCTAAGGCACCACAGTAAAGAAGCCTGAAAAGGCCAGAGAAACATTTCTCAAGCCAGAAAAATAGTGTTGAGCAGCTTTCCTAGGTGCAGTTGGCAGGAAACAGCCCTTTTTGCTTCTGAAACACGCCAGAAATCCACAGTGAATCAGGATGTCCAAGAGGAGGAGCACTGGGTGGGGAGAGAGAGGCAATGCAGCAAACGCGCAGCGTGGTGCCCCGTTAATGCCCTGGAAGTGGCTGAAGTGCATCTCCCTCCCTGACACTCATCCCAGCTCCAATGGAAGCGATGCAGGCAGCAGGAAGAGCGGACTAGGTGGTGTTCTCAGGTAGCTTGTCCCGGGTCAGTCCATACTGCACACTCACGTTGTGGTCCAGCTCCTCCAGCTCAGAGGGAAGGGGGATGGCAAGTTCTCCAAGGTAGAGAGAGAGAGCTTCAAAGGAATCTTCCAGCTTGGAAAAAGGGGGCCTAGAAGCAGCAGTGAGGAAATGTGAGTGGGGAAGAGGAAGAATAACAGCATCTGGAAAGGCTGAGCCCGATGTCCTTCCAGACCACTCTGCCACGTACAGAGCCGTGAGCAGGGACATGATTCCCTCCCCATTCAGCTTCCAAGACTGCAAAGCCCCCATCTCTCTGGGCTACCCATTTGTGCAGCCAGTGATCAGGCTCTGGCTCTTTGGAACCCACTTGGCATCAACACTGTTCTGAATGTACAGGTTTCACAACTGAGATCAAAAGAGGAATTCACCTTGCTGCCAAGGGCTGCCCCTACTTTTGGTACCTGAAGGAGCCCCAATCACTCCTCCTCCTCTACACACTCTGTCTTGGAACTGTTTCAGAGATCTCCAGCATAAAGAGTGGCCTCTCTGCCAAACTGACGAGTGTAAAGTCTCTCCATGCGCAGAAGCCTTTGAACATTCCCACAGTAGGTTGGAATTGCCCTCCACCTTGGGAATACAGACACAATCCTGCAGGCTTAGGAAGAGGAGCCTTGCAGACCCCAAACCTACCTGCTCTCTGGCTCCAGCCTGCAGCAAATAGCAGCCAGAGGGAAAAAGGCTGGAGGACAGTCAGCAGGAACAAACTTCTCCCAGAACAGCTTGACATTAAGGCCAAAATCCAGTGTGCGTGGGAGACAGTCTGGGTCAGCATAAACCTGGCCTATGATCTAGGGAAAAACGAGACAAGCACTTCAGTACTGCAACAGGTCCAGAGTGTTATCAGAGAACTTCAGCAGCAAGCAGGGGCTCCTTCAAACTATTATGGTGGAAGGGAAAGAACAGAAACATCGTTCCTCCTGTCCAGTGGGGCCACTGGAGGCCCAGACCCCTTCTCCTGCCCAGGGTCTCTCTGCCAGAAGACACAGGATGATGTGCCCCTCCAGGGAGCTCGACAGTGTCTCACTGCTGGGGATGACACAGCCCCTGGTGACTGCAGGTGATCCACACAACCTGCACCACCATTCCACCTCTGCCCCGCTGCTGCCCCAGAACTCACCACCTCCAGCACGAGGGCACTCCCAGGGTACCAGAGGGAAGGAGCCCAGAGCAGAGCTCGGGGGTGATCTGGACTCACAAGGTCAGTGTCAATACAAACTTTCACAGGGACACAGCATTAGGTTTAAAGCCTCATCGGGTATCACAAAAAGGGTGTTATTTATACCCACCCAGGCTTTTTTATGTCAATAACTCACAGCAGGGCAACCACATCCTGTAACTAGACAGTGGCACACCCACTATGTGTTTTGGCAGGGTTATTTCCTTATCTGAGTGTAGACCTTTTTTTTTTTTAGCATTGTTGTTTTGGGGACAAAGAAAACATTCATGTGCTCCTACCCCTTTGTCTTTTTTTTTTTCTACATGAAACAATTGTTTTAATCCCACATACAGATTTTTCAGGTTCCTAGATCTATCACTCACAACCACAACATTCTCTGAGAGGAGGGCCCAGAGTAAACAGAGCTCCAGATGAGGCCACAAAGATTTATGCACAGACATTTGCTTTGTCCCCTTCATCCAAACGCTGACGATGAAACTGTGCTGGCATCCCCTGGTGTTCCTGTAACTGCTGTGTTACACATAACACCCTGCCTTTCATCTGTATTTCCACTGTCATACACACCTTTTAAACTGAAAACACCTTGTGGCTTTCAAGTGGTGCTTCTTGTTCTGCAGACAGAAAACCTGATAGAACAGTAAGACTGTGCATTGGCTCAGAAATAAACTAAGCCCACAGACTTCAGGGGGCAGCTTCATTAATCGACCTGCAAAGAGGTTTCTGCTTCCCTTCGTTTGAAGTGAAGTGCCATCCCCAGTGGAGGCCCTGAATTTGCTGAGATTGTGCAGATGATTATTCTTTCAGTGAGGCAGTAGAAAAAGAAAGTATCACATTTTTGGGTAATACTTTCAAATGGATAGCAGGGCTCAGTCAGAACTTGATGACTTTTTTACAGTTTCTCTCAGTCCAGGAGGAACCTCTGCATTTCTTTCAGTCCAGGAAGAAACTGGGACCAAGAAACTACAAGCCAGTTACCTCCCTTGAGGAAACAGAGGCAGGGTACGCTTGTTCTCCAGTCTAATTCACTGATAATGTGCTGCAGGTCACAGACTGCACACTCGGGCACAGAGACCTGGCTGATACCATGTGTGCAAGGAGATGGCAGTGGGGAAAGGGGCCATTAAAAATGCCATGTCACATCCTTGTCTT